TTCTTGCATTTACCTTCATTGCCTTTCTCTTAATCTATGAGCAGTGGGTCATAAAGGCTCTTATATAGAGCAATTCCTTGAATATCATTTCATTATAATGATGATGAGGAAAAATAAATGATTCCTGGCAGAAGCCACTCTCTGTGATGAGTTTGCAATTTCTCCCGATGTCTGCGTGGGTTTTCTCCAGGGACTCCAGTGTTCTCCCATATCCCAAAGATGTGCACATGAGGTGAACTTGCATGTTCACATTGTCTCATTCTGAATGAGTGTGTGTGTGTGTGTGTGTGTGTGTGTGTGAGGGGTCACTCAGTGGAAGGGCCTTCTGTCCGGGGTGGGATCCTGCCTTGTGCCCTGAGCTGCCAGGACAGGCTCTGGTTACCCAAGACCCTGAACTATAAAACGCAGATTGGAATATAATTATCTTACTTGTTTTTATTAATCTTGTTAAAATGCATGCATAGCTCACATTTGTTGCGATGTTTAATATTAGAAGTGTTTGGGATTTTTATTTAGAAGTTTGGTGATATTTTAGTGCCTCTTATACAGGAACTTAACTCATTTATACCAACTTCACCTATGGTAAAATTGGTTCCATTATATGTCATTTTGCTGAAAGTGAGTTTCTAAGAGCCTATCAACAATGTTAAGGGAGAACTCACTGTATTTATTTTTACTGAGCTGTTTCTTGTGAAACAGTGATTTAGCCTGACCTCCCAATATAGAATCTCAATTCCAACCACTTCCTAGTTGTGTGACCTTGAGGTGTCACACAATTTTTTCTGAGCCATGCTTTCTTCATCTGAAAATAAAGATGACAATAGTACCTATCAATTATGATATAATATGTTGTGATAATTGAATGAGATAATCTATATAAAACATTTATCCCCCCAAAAAAAGAAAAGAGGTCTCCGAGAATCTGAAATTGCCCCATCTCTACCAGCTGGGCTTGGCTGTTGTTAGGAGCTACCTGGGCACTCACAGTCAGACCAGCTTGTTTTCCTGTTTAATGTAAACCATTTCATAGGACACCAACATTAGACAAGGACACTCAGTGACTTTGAAGGATAAAGGCAAAAACAAAACTACTCTATAATCATGTCTGAACTCCGAAAAAATCAAGAAAGATTGCCTAGACCACAAAATGACCAAATACCTCCCTAACTAGGCTAATCTGAGTGACCAATTAAACCATTAGCTTCCCTTCTTCCTTATACCTCCACATAAAAATTATAAAGATAACTAATTATAAAATTTGTCAAGTGCTCAGAGGAACTTCAGAGAGACCTGGTCTGTTAGGTGTCCAAATAGGCAATTAAAGCAACAACAAGCCAAAATTTGGAAGTGACAAGCCTCTACACAATTGCTTACTGCAATTGCATAAGCAAGAGTCTAAACCTGGTGAAAACACTGACTCCCCATCCCATTACCTCGTGACATGGCATGCTGGGGTGACCATGAGTGGATGGGCACACACGTGGAAGTCTGGAGGCCTCTTGCTGTTGAAGGATCCCCCCGAAAAGACTCCTGCAGGTTTATGTAATTGGGGTATGGCATATCAATTGAGTTGCAGGTGCTTGAAAAACAGCAGATGCAAGGAGGGTGCTCTGATCTTCCTTTTTGTCTTCCTGAAAGCAGGAGATAAAACTCCCATCTGTGGCCTGACTGGTGTGTGGCTCAGTTGGGTATCACCCTGCAAAGTGAAAGGTCACCAGTTCGATTTCTGGTCAGGGCACATGAGTGGGTTGCAGGTTCTGATCTTTGTTGCCCTATCTCAAACCCATTTGTCTTGTTACATTTTCACAATTTACTATTCTTTGTTCAATCTAGTGTATAAACTTTGGGGCCTACCTTCTTCAGGTTTTGATTTTTCTTGTGAAGGCTCCCAAGTACGTGAATAAATAAATAAATAAATAAATAAATAAATAAATAAATAAATAAATAAAATATGTATGCTTTTCTCCTGTTACTCTGTCTTATGTCAGTTTAATACTTAGGCCTAGCCAGAGATACTAAGAGGACAGAGAAGAAATTTTATCTCCCTTACAGTAGCCCACCTACAGCTTCCTTATGCCAATTATGCCATACCTGAAGCCTGCAACTATGCCGTATCTGAAGCCTTCCTTTTTTCCAGGATAAATCTTTCCAACTCTTCTGCCTGCCTTTGAATCCCTGCCAAAACACAAGTAGCGGTGGCTGACTCCCTTCCTCTAGCAAGCTCTGAATAAATAGCCTTTGCTTGGTCTCATTCTTTGGCCTTCATTTGTTTCCACATTGCAAGGCTCTTACTTGCCCCCATCCCCTCAAAACTTTCCTTAATACTACTTATCACAGTTAACATTTAAAATTCATCTGTATTACCGTTTGATTAACAGCTCTCTATCAACTAGGCTGTAAGCTCCAAGACAGAAAAAGCTCACCACTGTAACTCCCAATGCCTACCACAGTGCCTGTTTCTGAAGCTATGTTTCTGTCTCAGAATGTCTCTTATAATGTCAATTTCAGACTCACACAACAGTCAACAGAATCAGATCTCTCTGGAGGGGAGAGCTACAGGACCCATGAATCTGTATTGTTTTTGTCCTCACCAGAGGACATACTTATTGAGTTTAGAGAGGGGAAGGGAGGGAGAGAGAGACAGGGAGAGAAATACCTATGTGAGAGAGAAACATCAATCTGTTGCAACTGTGCCCTGACCGGGAAACAAACCCACGGCCTTTCAGTTTACAAGACAACAGTCCAACCAACTGAGCCACACTGGCCAGGGCCAGGAGTCTGTATTTTAAATAATTTCTTTCAGATAATTCTTACACACATTAATTTATGAGACTAGCTGAACTGCCAAAGGGGATATAAAACACAAGGACAAATTTTGCAGTTAGCTCTGCTAGGATGACTTAACAAATGCCACAATCATCAATAAACAGCTCTCAAGCATTCCATCCTCACAACCCTTAAATAGCTATTATAGCCAAACACCTATGAAAGAAACGCTGAAATAGCCCTGGCTGGTGTGGCTCAGTAGATTGTGCACCAGCCTGAGTAAAAGGTTGCCTGTTGAACTCCTAGTCAGGACTCATGCCTGGGTTGTAGGCCAGGTCCCCGGTTGGTAGTGTGCAATGTTTTTCTCACACATCAATGTTCTCTCCCTCCCGTCCTCTCTCTCTAAAAGTAAATAAATAAAATAGTTTTTAAAAGAATCATTGAAATAAAAAATTTCCACTTTAAACTGAGAAATGACTGGATATCTTTGAAAACAGGGCACCAGAAATAATTCAGAATCTAAGGTAGAGTTCACATGAAATAGTTATAACAGTTTTAGAAGTTCGGCTTTCCACCAATTAAGCATTTTTTCCCCAAAATAACTTCATCAACCAAATATAGCTTTTTTCAGCTGTCCCATATGTTACTGAAACTATCAAAAATATTTAATGCAATTTCCAATTTATTGCCATAGTAAAATATGTTCCAAAACTCGTCACTATTTTTTTTACATCAGATTAGTTTGAAGCAGCAGAAAGCAACACATTAATTTTTAATTTATTTTTTCTCCTGAATGAATTCATGCCTATGTACTTAAAGTTTTAGAAGCATTTCAGGATCATTCATGTGCTTTATTACTCCCCTCTTTTTTTTGGAAAATAACTTATTATTTCCCAGGACAACCTTTGTTCATTCTGCTATTCCTTTCCTTTATCCACGTGTAGTTCTGCCATGTTCTTAAACATGAAGCTTTTAACCTAAGGTCTTCCTCACTTCACCTTCAGTTGCGTAAGCTGCATTATGGTTTCTAAGTTATTAGTAGTCCTTTTTAAAAAAGGAGCCTCAAACATAAACAAAAACCTTAGAAATAAAAACTCTTTTTTAAATGTAAGATTTTATTTATTTATTTTTAGAGGGAGGGAAAGGGAGGGAGAAAGGGAAACATTGATGTGGGAGAGAGATATGGAGCAGTTGCCTCTCACACGCCCCCTACTGGGTACCTGGGCGCAACCCAGGCAAGTGCCCTGACTGGGCATGGAACCAGCCACCTTAGTGTTCACAGGCTGGCACTCAATCCACTGAGCCACCCCAGCTAGGGCAGAAATAAAAACCTTAAACCTTAAAAATTCACTTAGAATACAAACATTAGAAATTCACTCAGATTGCTTAGAAAGATTGTGATATAATATTTTCATTTTTTCTTGCAGTTTGTGACCCAGCAAAGGTTACTTAAACCATTTCTGCCTTGTATGCTCATCTGTAAAATGGAGATAATAGTATTCACCCCACAAGATCGACTCTAAGATTAATAACGGTGACTTCTGGGTGTTGGCATTAGCTTTATGCTTTGCACTACTTATATTTAAGCAAAGAGTTCTCTCCGAAAAAAAAAGGAAAAAATCATGGCTACTGTAGGGGTAATATTCACTTCAGTAGCCAAGCACAGATTATTCCTCTGGAAATTTTAATTTTTGTTCATTTGACCTCAGATAAATCTAGGTTGGAATTGGCTCTTCCCCTTTGAGAGAAAGTCACATTTGTAGTATTTAACCCCTCTTTTGGTGTATTTCCTCCTTTACAAAACCGGGATAATACCACCTTCCTCAAAATGTTGTAAAAATTAAATGAGGAAATGTATATGACCTGTCTACCGGTGTTTAAGAATTTAGGGGTCAATAAATGATGATCACAGTAATATAACTCATTAATTCAAAAAACATTTAAGGATCCCTCACTACAAGGGATATATAGAAGTTAATAACCCTCAGTCTTTACCTAGTTTTAAAAGACAATACAGGGGGTAGAAGAGATAATACGCGGAAACACTCCAGAACCATCACTGCAAGGAACTTAATTCACAGTCTTGACTACACCACCGGAGCCTTAACCTTAGAACGAGCAGCAGATTTGCGCACGCGCAATTATGCCCCTGGAGCCCGGCCACTCGCTCAACTCCGCGCCAAAGGTACCTACTTAAGCGCGTGCGCCTGCGCCGTGACCTAGACGTGGGGCTGGCTAAATTGTAAACCATGGCGTGGGTACCAGGGGAATCTGCAGTGGAAGAGTTGATGCCCCGTCTGTTGCCAGTGGAGCCCTGCGACTTGACAGAAGGTTTCGATCCTTCTATACCCCCGAGGACGCCTCAGGAATACTTGAGGAGGGTCCAGTGAGTGATTTGGCGTGAGAGGGCGGGCTGGTAGTTCAACCGCCGGGCGTCTAGCTCGAACCCTGTTTGTGATAAAGCCCCGCCTTTGTTTCCGTCCCCAGTCGCAGTGGAGTTCGGATTGGATCAAGATCACTTGATTACACCTTTACGGGAACGAGTTTCTATGAACTTCATTATATTAAACTTGATTACCCATGGCAAGATGTGTGCTCCTAGATTTCCTTGCTTTTAATCCGGATAATTTCAGAAGTATTCTGATAAATGCCTCAATTGCAATTCTGAACTGTTTGTCTAATTTCATAATGAAATGTAGAAATGATTAGCTTGTTTTACTACGCATAGACAAAGCATGATAGTAATCACAGTTTTGCATTTATTACTTATTTGTAGGATTGAAGCCGCTCAATGTCCAGATGTTGTGGTAGCTCAAATTGACCCAAAGAAGTTGAAGAGGAAGCAAAGTGTGAATATTTCTGTGAGTGTTATTACCCTTCAGGGGACTTTTTTTTACCTCCCCCCGCAAATTAAAAGACCATACCTCTTCCTATAGCATCTAACAGATGTAGGTAGGTAAGATTTGACAACGACTACCTAGGAGGTTAAAACATTTATTGTACTTTTTCTTCCAAAAACACAAAGGACATTTACTGCTGCCAGAGGCTTTCAGTAATCCTGGCATTCATAGAGATTTGCTTGCTCTTCATACTTTAGGGGCATGATCAAATCCTGAAGAAGTCTTTAAATAGGTTACTTAGGCTATCCTTTAATTTTTAGTAACATTTTCTAGTTATCTTCATAATTATTATTGGACTTTAATCTTCATGTAGTTTGCATGTTATGATATTGACTGGGTTTTATTTTTTTAAGAATAGAGTCCCATGGTGATTGTTGCAGGGGGTGAGGAGAAAAATGGAAGGGAGTATAAAGGAGATAAGTAGCAATAGAAAAAAATACAATGAAAAATAAACTATGCAAAGAATTTTTAATTAAAAAAAAGAGAATAGAGCCCTGGCTGGTATGGCTCAGTGGATTGAACACTGGCCTTCGAACCAAAGGGTCGCTGGTTCAATTCCTAGTCAGGGCACATGCCTGAGTTGCTGGCCAGATCCGCAGTGGGGGACATGTGAGTGGCAACCATACATTGAGGTTTCTCTCTCTCTTTCCCTTCCCCTCTGTCTAAAAATAAATAAGTTTTTTAAAAAAGGAAAGAAAAAAAAAGAATAGAAACCTAGATATCTTTACACTTTTTCTGGCTACTTGTACACTATGAACATTTTCATACACTTATCCAGCACGTTTTTTACTAACCAACTAGGTTGTGTGGGTCACTGAAGATTCAACAGAGGATGAGACAGAAAAGGTCCCTACCCTTGTAGAGTTTACATTGTCCTGAGAAAGACATTAAACAAATTAATTATATAAAATGACTGCTGCAATGATGAAAATTAACATATATAAGTGACCAATAAATAACAGGGAATACTGTGACTATCTAAATAGTCACAGAAGGTCTCTCTGAAGAGTGAATTTAATTTAAGGTCAGAGGAGAGCAGCAGGTTTTTTTTTGTTGTTGTTGTTGTTGTTTTCAGTTTTAAATTGCAATAAATCCTTTTCCTTTTATGTTCTAAGTAATTCTTTACCTGATGTTTATAATTAGGTAATTTTAATTCAGACACCGTAAAGTTTCATGTAAGTTTTTAGTTGATGTCTTATAAAATGATGTCTTATATACCTGGCTTTAAAAAGTAACTGCAATAAGTTTTATTTCAAGGCACTATGTGATCACTTGTGAACTTAAGTACTGTTTTAGGAAACAAGTAGACCTTTCAAAGTCAAATGTCTTAAATTATTTGAGTGTGTTCTGCCTATGCTGAAATTGTTTGTTTGGGATATATCTTTTTGTTTCAAACTGTTCTGCTATTCTAGAAAGGTAGGAATACATTATATCTTCAGGGCTCATATCATTTATATTTCCTAGAGACGACAACTGTTGCCCTGGTAGGGTGGTTCAGTTTGTTAGAACGTCATCCCGAACATCAAAAAGATACAGATTTGATTCCTAGTCAGGGCATATACATAGGTTGCAGATTCGATCCCTGGTTGGAGAACCAATTGATGTTTTTCTCTCGTCCTGCCTTCCTCTCTGTAAATCAATAAATGTATTCTTGAGTGAGGATTTAGAAAAATATTAATACATGAATATTTAAAATAAACAAACTACAACTATTAAAACATTCCAGATGGCTCTTACTAAAGTGACTAAATAAGGATCTTTTCCTAACATTTTAAACTTAGACATAAATAGTAAAGTGAAATGCCTAACTACTTTTTTACATCAGAAACAGTACTTTTTTTTTTGTATAGTCTTAATCATGTACTTTATTATTTGCTGTTCATGTTGATTTTACTTTTACTTTGCAGAAGCATGGACTTCTAGGTACAACACTAATATTGATTCTAACAATTATGAACTGATCTCTAGCTTTCAGGATGTCAGCCTGCTCCTGAAGGGTATTCCCCTACACTTCAGTGGCAGCAACAGCAAGTGGCACAATTTTCAGCTGTTCGACAGGTGAATGTACTTTAATCATTTAATCAAATTAAATCCCTCCCTCATATTTAATTCTGTTCCTAGACTTAAGTTGGAATAATAAGATTTGTGATTCTGAAGTATAAAGAAAAGAATATTTGTGAATCAATTACCAAGTTATTATTATAATTATTAGATGTAATACAGTTTAAAACATTTTCTAAGTGTTAGGATAGTTAGAATGTTGTGCAGCAATTGATTTCTTTGTAGTTACCCATTCTCTGAAGATCAGTGTCTAATTCTTCTTTCTGTAGAATGTGAACAGACATAGAAGCCACTGGAAATCACAACAGCTGGATAGTAATGTGACCATGGTATGTAAGTTTCTGTGTTTAAGTTGTACAGTGTTTGAAAGTCCACATTTACTTCCAGTCTTTAAAGATTCATTTACTTAGTCTACATTATTCCTTTTCTCTCCCATCTACCCCTTTTAAAAAATTACATTTTATTGATTGTTTATTATAGTTGTCCCAATTTTCTCCATATGCCCCATTCCATCCAGCAACCCCCACTCCCTTTAGCAATCCCAATACCATTGTTCATGTCCATGGGTCATGCATGTAAGTTCTTTAGATACTCCATTCTTTATACTGTACTGTACATCCCCATGGCTATTCTGAAACTCCCTACATGTACTTCATAATCCCCTCACGTCTTCACCCATTCACCCATACCCACTTCCATATGGCAACCATCAAAATGTTCTCTGTATCCATGATTCTGTCACTGTTCTTGTTTGCTTAGTTCATTTCTTAGATTCAGTTGTTGATACGTATGTATTCATTGCCATTTTATTCTTCATGGTTTGATCTTCTTTTTCTTAAATAAGTCCCCTTAATATTTCATATAATAATGGTTTGGCGATGATGAACAACTTTAGTTTTTTCTTGTCTGGAAAGCTCTATATCTGCCCTTCGATTCTAAATGATACCAATCTTGACTGTGGGTTCCTGCTTTTTTGACTTTGAATATTTCTTGCCAGTCCCTTCTAGCCTGCAAAGTTTCTTTTGAGAAATTGGCTGAAGGTCTTATGGGAACTTTCCTGTAGGTAACCAACTGTTTTTCTCTTGCTATTTTTAAGATTCTCTCTTTATCTTTAACCTTTAACATTATAATTATCATGGGTCTTAGACTAGGCCTCTTTGCCTCCATCTTGTTTGAGACTGTCTCTGCTTCCTGGACTTGCATGTCTATTTCCGTCACCAAATTAGGGAAGTTTCCTTTCATTATTTTTTCAAATCAATTTCCAATTTTTTGCTCTTTCTCTTCTCCTTCTGGCACACTTATGATACGAATATCAGAGCACTTGGAGTTGTCCCAGAGGCTGTACACTGTCCTCGGGTGTTTTTTTTTGGGGGGGGGGGGGGATTCTTTTTTCTTGTTCTGGTTGGTTAGTTTTTGCTTATTGTGTTCCAAACCATTGATTTGATTCTCAGCTTCATTTACTCTACTGTTGTTTCCCTGTACATTGTTCTTTATTTCAATTAGTGTATCCTTCGTTTCTGACTAGATCTTTTTATGCTGTTGACTAAGCTCCTTGAACATCCCTATAACCACTGTTTTGAGCTCTGCCTCTAATAGATTGCTTTTCTCCATTTTTGTTTAGTTCTTTTTCTGAAGTTTTGATCTGTTCTTTCATTTGGGCCATGTTTCCTTGTCTCTTCATTTTGGCAGCCTCCCTCTGTTTGTTTCTATGTAGCAGGTAGAACTGCTATGACACCCTGCCTTGGTAGTGTGGCCTAATGTAGTAGATGTTCTATAGAGTTCAGTGGCACACACTCCCCTATCACCCAAGCTGGGCACTCAAGGTATGATTTTCATGTGGGCTGAGTACACTCTTCTTTTATAGTTGAGCCTTGATTGCTGTTGGCAGGTCAATGGGAAGGATTTACCCAGGCCAGTCAGCTGCATGGACTGGCTGTGACCACTGATCACCAACCTCCACCTTCAGCTGTACAGGGGTAGGGTGGTAGTGGTCTGATTTGGTCTGTAGCTGTCCGCTGGGTGCACAGGCTCTGGGGTTTCCTAGGTGGTGAAGGCCAAGGTCAGTCCCCACCTGTATTTTGCCAGGGCAGAATACACCCTGCTTGAACTATAGAGCAGTCTGAGATGGGGGCTACTTGTGCTGGGCTTGGAGATTCCCAGGCAAAGCCAAGCTGTGAATCTAGGCTGGTTGCTGCTACTTAGCAGGCCTGGGGCTACTTAGCACAAGGGTCAGGGCCTGGGGGCTCACTGAAGCCAGCGTTGTTTGTTTGAGAGGATTTAGGATGTCGTGAACCGTGAGCCAAGACCAGCCATTCATATAGAAAAGCAGCTTGGGGGGCCCCAAGTAAGTTGGGTGGCATGGAGTCTCTAGGGATCTCCAGGTCAGGGCAAACAGTGTTAGCTGGGTTGATGGAGTCTCATATATGGCTCCAGCCTGCTGGCTCTGTGGCTCTGTGTAGGGAGGGTTTAGAAAAGGGATAGTGGCCTCCACCCACCTTCTTGTCTAAAAGAAAGCTGTCTCCCAGCTCTCACCTTGATGCCAGACACTTCAGTTCCTCCCTGTATGCCACTGGTGCCTTTCAAGCTGCTACCCCAGTGCTGGAACTCAGAGGGAGTGAGTCTGAGTAAGTCCATGTATGGGTTCTTCAAGGGGAATTACTTGGGACTCCAGAAATTTCCTCCACCAACTTAATCCCCACTAGTTTTTGAAGCCAGAAGTTATGGGGCTTATCTTCCCAGCACTGGTACCCTGGGATGGGGGTTCTGGTATAGGGCTGGGACTCCTCACTCCTGAGAGATCTCTCCCAAAATTTTATCCACCACACGTGGATATAGGATCAGCCTGTTCCATGTGTCTGCCCTAGCAGTCTGGGTGGATGTGGTCTCTTTAATTTCATAGTTGTAGACTTCTATCAGTTTGATTTCTGAGAGTTCTTAGTGATGGTTGTTCTATATTTTAGATGTAATTTTGATGTAGTTGTGCAAGGAAGCAAGCCGCAGTTACCTGCAGTGCCATCTGGACCGGTAGTCCCCACCTACCTTAATAGTACCAATTGCATTATATTAGTGACCTGAAAAATATAAAATCAGTAATGGAAGTTATTTTTATAACAGCTTTGATTCACAGCATTTTGAGCCATTTTGGATAGGTAATTTTTAGGCCTTTACAAGTTTTTAAAGGTCCTTCTAGATATTTGCTTTTTAGGAAATAAATACATTTTCCTATTTACAAAAAGTATTTACAGAAAGATTGAGTAAAGACTTATTGAATTTTCCTGATGAGATAATGGTGCCAATACCAGTGACATTTTAGTAAAGCTGTCATGCATACTGAAAAGTATTGACTTCATTTTATCGGCTTAGATATAATATTAAGCTCTTCAGTAGACATGTTATATCTGGGCTACTGAATAAAAAAGGGAGTTGGGGAAGAAATGGATACATTGTTCTATGGCAATACTTTCTTTTTCTGTGAAAAGTTTTTAATTTTACTTTTTATATTTCCCTCTTTTTCTAAATTTATATTTCAGTTATGATTGACATGCAATATTATATTAATTTCAGGTGTACTCCATGGCAATACTTTTAACCTTTTAGGGAGTCTCATATTCTTTCTGAGAATCAGATGAAATCTATTTATCTTCCAAAGGGCAAAATGCACCTATGCACACAGTTTTGCTAATTTTGGGATAATTCATAGATTTCAGATCTTAGAAGCTTCTTCTAGGCAGTTCTTCCTATCTTTTACGTGGTGACACATTGGGGTAAATGGAGGAAGTTGCTTGCATAAGCTTCCTGAGACCAGCTGAAAGCTAAGAAATTAAGTATATGGACTCTCGATATGTTTCTCCAGACCAGTTGGAAGTTCTCCTCTAACAAAAGTGTGAAAGGAACTGATGTCACTTGCCTAAGACCATTTAATTCTTCAAAGGCATGGCTGGGAGCCACCGAAGTCTGTCTGACTAAAGCTTTTCACTATGTTCTGAGGCTTCTAGTAAGAAAGGAGGTAGGGGGAAGGAGGTAGATATACTACTTTGTTCTTTCTTGCTCAGTTTAAAGATGTTGTGTACATGCTTATTAATTCAAAAAGCCACATCAGTAATACTATGATATTATTTTGTCAAAAATGAAATAACGTAACATAACTGATTCAATAAATTATGCTCCATCAAAATAAGAATATTATGTAACCATAACACAGGTTCATCATGGCAAATATAAACATGAAAATAATAAAATGAAAAAATTTTAAAGCACATCCTGGTGTCAGCTATGTAAGTATACATATTTATTTATCGATTTATCCAATCATTGAAGCTCCTACTATTTTTATTTATTTTAAAGATTTTTTTAAATTTATTTTTTAGAAAGGAGAAAGGAGGGAGAAAGAGAGAGGAACATCAGTGTATGGTTACCTCTCATGTGCCCCCTACTGGTGACCTGGCTGGCCACCCAGGCATGTGCCCTAGACTGAGAATCGAACTGGCGACCCTTTGGCGACCCATCTGGGACTCAACCACTAAGTCACACCAGGCAGAATAGCACCTACTGTTTTTAATAATCAGGATATTTAGTGCTACCTGCAGCGGAAATCATCTCTAACCTAATGAAATAATGGAGAAAGTTGTATACATTATTTCAGGACAGTCAGTTTTAACCTTTTAGGGTCTCATTCATCCTGAGAATCTAATGAAAGCTATTTATCCTCAGTGGGAAAATTGCACCTTTGCAAAATAAGGTTCAAAATAACGTGTACAAATAAAAAGTTTTGTTGAGATACCTACTTATATTGAACTGAATGCTTCTTTCCTCCACTGGTCCAGCTTTTTACTTTTGGTGATGTAGAGTAAATCTATTCCTTCTTTGGGCAGTCGATCAAGTATGTGAAGTATATGATCATGTCTCCTTTCCTGGAACAAATATCCTTGGTTCTTGTAAGCATTCTTAGTGCATTTTTAATATCGATTTCATCTTTATTATCCTCTTTTTGAACATACCCTTGCTTGTCAGTGTCCATTAAAGTGTGCTCCCAACTAAACATGTGTCACATATGGTAAGGCCACCGGGGCACTGTATTAGTTTGCCAGGGCCACTGTAGCAAAATACCACCAAGTAGGTAGTTTAACAAATACTAATTTACTTCCTCACAGTTCTTTAGGCAAGAAGTCTAGGATCAAGGTAAGTTTGTTTGCCTCAGGGCCTCTCTCTCCAGCTTGCACATGCCATTTTCTCATTAGTTTCTCACATAGTCTTTCCTCTGTGCACACACATCTGCATCATCTCGCATGTGTCCAAATGGCCTCCTCTTATGCGGACACCAGTCAGATGGGATTTGAGCCCACTCTATAGCCTCAGTTTATCTGAATCACCTCTGTAATGGCCCTGTCTCTAAGTCACATCCTTAGGTACTGGGGGTTAGCTTTTCAGCATTCGAATCTTTGGGGGACATAATTCAACCCATAACAGGCTCCATATCTTTGTGCTGAGGTGGTGGAACTTTGGAGAAATCCTCGTTGTTGTTTTTTTTTTCAAAGTCAGTATTTTAAAAATATATAGAAATAAGTAAATTTATTTATTTATTTTTTTTAGCCAAAATCTGAAGATGAAGAAGGCTGGAAAAAATTTTGTCTGGGTGAAAGGTTATGTTCTGAAGGGGCTGTTGGACCAGCTAAAAACGAAAGTCCTGGAATAGATTATATACAAGTAGGTGACAAGTGGATAAACGAAACCAACAGTATTCTAGTTTTGATGCATCATTTATCGTAAAGGGTCAGCAGACTACAGCCTAGTCCAAATTCAGTCTACAGCCAATTTTTTCTACAGCTCATGACCTAAGAATGTTTTTTATATTTTTAAAGGTTTACAAAAAACAAACTTTAAGAATAATATGTGACTAAGACAATGTGTGGTCTGCTAAGCCTAAAATATTTAGTTTGGCTTTTTACAGAAAGTGTTTGCCAACCTCTGACTTAGTTTATTATATCTTTAACATAAAAATAGGCATCCCAGTTTCTGAAACAATGTATTGTGACATCTTCTAGGTTGGCTTCATACCTTTTATGTTTTAGTTATTTTGTGAGTTAGGTAGGATTTGTTTTTTTCTTAATGATTAGTCATGGGTTAAACAATGAATGAAGAATAGTCAGGGAAACAGAAAAACATGACACATTTAGAAATCTACTTTAAAATGCTTAGTAGTAAATGCTTATTAGTAAATTGTGTATTCTGGAAATGAAATGTTGAGGGTATATTTAAATTTCACATGGCTTCATAAAGTATGTGGACAACTTCTTGTCCTTTAGGATTCACCTGCATTCAAGTTTTCAGGTGTTTCAAGGTGTCAGGTGTTTCAGGAACCTTCTGCATACATCTCATTACTATTAAATCCCCATGTTATGTTCTTTTCTGTTGAATAGAAGGTATACATTGTTTGCTATGTGGTACCACATTGTATTTTTCCCATTTAAAACTAATTAATCCTGCAAATGTAAATATTCCAAAAGTCTCTAAAATTACCAAAAAGGCATTAAAAAGACCTAGAACCCAATTTAAAACAAAAACAAAAAATGGCCCAAGGATATAAATAGACATCTCACAGAAAGGAAATACAAATGGTTCTTATATGAGATACACAAACTTACTTATAGTATAAATGTAATTTGTAACGACACTGAGCTGTTTTTCAGGTAATATATTGGCAAAGAAAGCTTGATACGCTGTGCCAACCAGACCAGGAAAACAGGCACTTGTACACACGTGGTGGGAGCGAAGGAAGATTCTGATCTCTAGGGCAGCTAACTTGGCACTGTTTCCTATATAGCTGTTCTTATGGGTAATCCCCAATGTATGTTCCATTTTAAAAAGTGTTTTAATTTAATAAAGAATTAAAATTTGTTTATTTACCTTATTATTAAAAAATGTGTACAAGTAATGTACACCACCGGAAAGAACCATGTAGCCCTGACCCATGTGGCTCAGTTGGTTGGGCGTCATCCCGCAAAGCAAAAGGCCAGCAGCTTGATTCCTGGTCAGGGCACATGTTTGGGTTGCAGGTACAGTCTCAGTGAGGGGGTGGATAAGAAGCAACAAATCAATGTTTCTATCCTCTTTTTGCCTCCCTCGTCCTCTAAAATAAATTTAAAAATAACTTTTGAAAAGAACCATTTAAAGTTGCAAGAGTTTAATGCATATCTTCTTAGGCTCACAAGTCAGTGCTATTTCCACAATCAAGGCTCCCAGCATTAAACTCCAAAGTAGATTTTTTTAATTGACTCAGATTGGGTTTGGAAAAAAGTGATTCTAATTCAAGTACCCTTAATTCCTAAAAATATTAGCTTTAGCTAATGATTTTTTAAAAGTTTATATCACATATTAATGCCATAGTATTAATAGTATCTTTTTTTAAATTTCATACTTTAACATTTTAATTACTGAAATCATTTTTTTATTTTTAGGTTTACATATTCAGATTTCAGGACATTAGGGGGCATTGCCAATTAAGAGTTCATAGAACATTTTATTATAATAGGAAATAAAGGAATTTTGTTTTAGCCATCATTTGTTTTTAAATAACAGTGAGATGAGAATTCACCAGTTTGAAAAAAATTAAACCCTCCCTTATAATACTGTTTAATAAATTTCAATCTCATTTTTCTTTCAGATTGGTTTTCCCCCCTTGCTTAGTATTGTTAGCAGAATGAATCAGGTAAAGTCCATCTAATAATATGGAAAATGCATTCTTTTTTTTTGTGATGTGTGTGAGAGTATTTGAATACATTTACTGAATATAATGTGTAAGACCCTGTCCTAAACTCTTTTAACAGTTTTTATTTAATCCTTATTGCAGCCCTGTATGGGGAGTTATTATTAATATCCCTTTTTGAGAGAACAGGAAACAGTTCAAGGTTAAGTAATTTGCAGGTAGTTTTCAGCAAGTTTTAATGGCAGCACTGGGATTCAGTCCCAGGATGGTCTAATTCTGGAACTGATGTTCTCAATCATGGTGCTAAACTACTTAATTGTATATATTTCAGTTATAAGTCTTAGATTCTGGGGTGTGAAGTTAATACTAAAGTTAGATTGCTATTTCTAGTTTCAGACATCCTACACATTCCATTAAGAATGAAATGCAGTTGGCCCTTGAACAGCACCAGGTTAGGGACACTGACTCTCCCTGCAGTCAAAATTGCACATAAAACTTTTGACTCCCCAAAACTTAACCACTACATAAATTTCTTGGGATAAAGGGAAAAAATGGATTTTGTTTCTTCTGACTTTTAGGACTAGTACTTTGTTACCTATTTAAAGACCATCTAAAACATTTGATTGTTTTGTTTTGACATAGCATTAGATACCCTTGGGAGATGAAATTTTTTCAAAGTCATACTCTGTCATAAATTATACTGGCTCACAGTTTCACTTGATCATTTGCACTAAGATACTGCAAAATTCTATAGAGTGTTTTTTTTTCTATTAGAGTGTTTTTAAGTGTCCAACTATATTTGAATAAGCGAGATAATATTTCCAACAATTTGATAAATTCTGTCAGTATTGTTTTAAAACAGATCTTTCTCTAGCTGACTTTCTGTTTAGATTTATACTTTGTTTTATGAAAATAAATGAAGGTATTTATTATGCAGAGATTTTTTTTAAGAGCACATGGAATTTTTTTAAGTAGTGATAAACTAAATTAGTAGTTGCTAACTAAATCCTGGGATTTTTTAACCCAAGGTATTGATATTTGAAAGTGTATAAGAATATTATCCTAAAAGCCTCTTCTCTTTGAGTGACCATGTAATCAAATGACTAAATAGAGTCACAGTTCTCTGGAAATCTAAACAATGAGGCCACTTTAATTATTGGAGCTGCTTTCTAACTAAATGAAACTCACGTTGAACTTGTCATTGTTTTACTACTAATGCAATTCTACCTCCTCCCCCTTTTTTTTAGGCAACAATAGCCAGTGTCTTGGAATATCTGAGTAATTGGTTTGGAGAAAGAGACTTTACTCCAGAATTGGTACTGTTACCTCTTTTTATTTTCATAATCTAGATGAAATTATACATATTTATATATGAGATAGTACTCTATAGTATTTATAGATCTGTACATATTATACATGTATGTATAACTATGTATAATGCAAATTATGCTTATTTGCAGTGAGGAGCTTACACTAGCATGTAAATTAACGTACTACTTTCTTCATTGAGAAAGTCTTGCTTTGGGGTGGTGGGGATTGTCAATGAAATAGTTGGTTTTTATCCTGGGACAAATAACAAACAGGGTACTGACCAGCTACCAATCCGCAGATCCCTTTTTGAGTGGCACTGACTTAAAGAAGTTTGAAATGCATTTTCTAAAATGGCCTTGAAATCCAACTCACAAAAGCGTATCAGAAATAATAACAATAATAGCACTCTGTGCCAGGCATTGTTCTATTAATTTCTTGAATCTTCTAATAACCTATCAACTATTATTTCCATTTTATTGATAGGAACCTGGAACACATACAGATTTAGTAGCTAAAGATCACACAGATAATTGGCAGAACAGAGACTCATGCTCAGGCCATCTGACTGTACTCTTAACAACTATGCTATACTGCCCCTGCGTTTTATTGCTTTATATTCACAGCTTTTTTTTTACCTTCAAAATTGGGTACAGTTGGTAGACATTATATAAATTACCTACTTAATCCCCTGATTAGAAGTTTTATCATCTGAAGTAGGATTTAATTTTTAGAAACAAATAATTTTCACAGTGAAGGATATTTGCAAAAGAGTGTATCTGAGACTCCAAAGCTAGCTGTCAAAGCATAAGATGGAATCTTTGCCCTCCAGGAGCTTATAGTCTGCTGAGAGAAACAGATAAACCACCCATGCAGCACAGTGTGTGTCTCAGCCTGCCATGCAGCCAAGTGGCTGAGTTTCTTCCATAAGTATAAGACCGTATTCTTTATCACTAAATTTTTTAGTTTAAATTTTTATATTTTCTCTCCTGCCCAGGTAGCTTAAGCTTTTAAAGTTATATCAATACTTTCTTTTAAATCTCTACTATATATCTTGGCTGGTGGAGCTCAGTATATTGAGCGCAGGCTTATTAACCAAAGGGTTGCTGTTTGGATTCCCGGTCAGGGCACATGCCTTCCCTTCCCCTTTCTCTAAAAATAAATAAAGAAAATGTTTTTAAAAAATAAATCTCTACTATATAACATGTATTATTTTTTCTTCTTTTTGAAAAATATGGACTGCTTCACGAAACTGCAGTCATCCTTGCTCAAGGGCCATGCTAATTTTCTCTGTGTCATTCTAGTCTTAGTATATGTGCTGCCAAAGCAAGCACATATTTTTATTTTTTTAGTTATTGATTTTAGAGAGAAAAGAAGTGGGAGAGAGCAAAAAACACTGATTTATTGTTCCACTTATGCATTCATCAGTTGATTCTAGTATGTGCTCTGACTAGGGATTGAATCTGCAACCTTGACTTATGGGGACAGTGCTGTAACTGGCTGAGCTACCTGGCCAGGGCCATAGCATGTACTTTTTAAAGGAAAAACATCATGTTTAAAATCACTCTTTCTGTTTCAGTGGTCCTCTGTGTCTTTTACATAGTTATAATTAATGTGTGTGCATGTGTGTGTGTTTCTGGCTACATTTCATATATATATTTCAGTACAATAATGTAATTCACATGTAATTGTCATTATCTTAATATCTCATAACCTATGTTGATTCATTATTAATCATTTGGGTTCTTCCTTATATTTTACAATCATGACTAAAATATAAACATTTATACTGCCTTCTTAGCATATTTCCAGAGTAGAGTTATTGGATCAGGGGTTTATAAGCCTTATAAAACAGATAAGTATTACTTATGTTTTTCTTCTCTTCCTTTAATATTTATTTTTTAACTTCATAGTGTGATTTAAAAAGAAAGATTACTCACTTAAAAGGGTGATAAGTTTGGCTTTTCCTATTAATTAATGAAAGCATACTACCAAAAAATGTAGCTGTATTTACCAGAGGAATTATTAAAGGGTTTCTGAACCACTGACACCTGATTTACTAAATTTTAAAAGGATTAATCTCTTGAGTCTTATTTTGAGTAATCTGTCTTTTAAATCAACAGTGTTCAATTCCCCTATCCAAATAACTATACCATCAGAACTCTAGTATTGAAAATATCAGTGTTTAAGGTAAAAACATTCATCACAGAAAGTTTGTATATCATAAACTAGCAAAAACAAAAAAAGAACCTTTTTTTTTAATTTCTCTCATTTGAAATTCAAGAAAGTATGGTGTTTTTAATTATGGGTTCGGTTGGCATCTTTGAAATTTTCATTCTTTTAAAAATTTTTTTAAAGATTTATTTATTTATTTTCAGAGAGGGAAGGGAGGGAGAAAGAGAGAGAGGAGAGAAACATCAATGTGCGGTTGCTGGGGGCCATGGCCTGCAACCCTGGCATGTGCCCTGGCTGGGAATCGAATCTGTGATACTTTGGTTCGCAGCCCGCGCTCAATCCAGAGCTACGCCAGCCAGAACTGAAAAAGGGAACTTTTAAAAACTTTTTTATTTAGAATTACTTGTCTAATACTTTTTGAGAAATATATCTTATTTTATCATCCAAGTAGTAGCTATTAAGGAAGCTTTTGACTACTTAGTTTTAGATTTTGCTCTTACTTTTTAGCATTGTTACTCTGTGCTCACTAACTTTGAGGAAAGGAATGCTTCAGCAGAGTTATATCTTAGACAGTCAGAGGTTTAAGCAACTTCTAAAGGTAGAGACCATTTGAACACCTGACTACTAGCTTTACATAGTAAACGTATACCTGAAAATTTGAGTCAAGTTGAAATGTATAATGCTTTCTTCTGACCTGGGCCAGTTCACCCCTCCTTAGGCAACCTGTTGCCCTCCCACCCAACCCGCTCCCAGGAAGTCACCATATTGGTGCCCAACTTAGTGCAGACACCAAATCGGCATAGTGCACTGCAGCCCAGAACTCCTGGGGTTTGTTCAAGTGATCCTTCTGCCTCAGCCTCCTGAGTAGCTGGAACTGCAGGCATATGCCACTGCACCTGGCAATAATAGCTTTTTCATGTAGAAAATTTGTCACTATTTGTAAAGGAAACCTGAACATAAATCTTTTTAAGAAAAATTCTTACTGATTTGTGGTTCCCTGAGGAACTAACTTTGTGTGTTGCATAGATTGCTATTTCAAGCCTGTTCTAATATTCTTCAGGTTTCTCCCAAGTGATGTGTCGTTGGTCAGAATAAACTCAGTCTTAAACACTACTGATGAAAACAATTTAGTATAACCTTTCTGGGGTACATTTTAGTGATTATATCTCAGAAACGTATGAATATATATACCCTTTGACATCACCATATTATTTCTAGGAATTTACCCCAAGAAATCAATCAGAGATGCTCTAAAACTTATGTTCCAGGATAATTATCACACTATTTTTTTTATGTAACAGTAACAAATTAAACATCCTGAGCTCTCAACTATAGGAAATTGATTAAGTTAGTTATGGTGCATCCACATGGAGCATTCATTCCACAAATATTTTAATTAAGCTCCTGTTGTATTTCAACTCTAGACTGGATTCTAGGGGCATAATGTCTACCATACTCTCACAAAATCTGGGTGATAAAAGAATACATCAGCAGTGACAGGAAAGTATAAGTGCTTCATTAAAGAGTATTTACATAAACACCATGCTGAGACCAATAACATCTCTTCTTAATCCAACTTAACATCATGGGAAATGTTTATTATGTATTGCAAGTTAAAAAAGATGGCTACAAAATGTTATTACCTTACTACTGTCACAGTGATGAAACTTTATTTTTAAAAGTTGTAAGTCTACATAGAAAAAAGGTAAACATTTTTAAAATTAGCAGAAAGTTTATCTGGATGGTGGGATTTCAGGTTTGTTTTTCCTTTGTGCTTTTTGTATTTTTTTACTTTTTCTGCATTACGTGTATATTACTTTTGTAATCAAAAAGAAAACCCCATTTTAAAAGGGATGGAAATAAATTTAGCTTGCCATGGTATTTATAGAACTATCAAAACATTATTTCATATAGAATATAATTCCTTTGTATAGACCGAGGGGACAGAGTTATAAAATTATAAAATGATCTGTATACTTATCTATAGAGGGCAAAGAAAAATATATCTTAATTTTTCAAGGATTTATTCACATCTTAATGCAGTAGTCTGCCTGTGAATTAGTACTATAATTGTAACAATCTCTGAAGCAAACTGTTTGGGGATGAGAATATTTTGAAGTATCTAATGTTCTGTCTCTATAGTTAGAAAATACAAAAGATGTGACCCTTTGTTTTCTATATCCAAACGTAGTCCAGTTAAATGTTATGTGAATTTATTCATAGCAAATAACCAAACACAACTTTGGACATTTTAAAAAACAAGTGAAAATATGGTGTAATATTTTCCTACTTACTACTTTTTAAAATTCTATTTAGGGAAGATGGCTTTATGCTTTATTGGCTTGTCTTGAAAAACCTTTGTTACCTGAGGCTCATTCACTGATTCGGCAGCTTGCAAGAAGATGCTCTGAAGTGAGACTCTTAGTGGTAAGTTGGAATATGGTCATAAAGAAGGATTCCAGTGAAATAAGAAAACATGGAATATTTTATTAGTCAGGATTAGATTTGGCCACATAATAGAAATGCCCCAAATAACAATAGCTTAATTAAAACAACTTTTTCTCAGAGAAAGAAAGTCTAAAGGTAAGCTAATCAGATTTCGAATGGCAGCAACTGAGGCTTTTGAGTTCTTCCACCTCTGGCTTCCATCCTCAGCTCACCTCACGTCCCAGACGGCTGCTGGAGCTTCAGCCATTGTATTTCATTATAAGCAGTTGGAAAGAAGAGAAGAAAGAAGGCTGCCAGCCTCTTTAAGAGCCTTCCCAGAGGTTCTACAGTACATCTGCCTATATAGCTCATTGGCCAAAGTTTAGTCACATGGCCATAAAAAACTATGGAAATGTTTACTTTTAGCTGGGTGGCGGTGTGCCTGCCTAGAAATGAGCTTCACAGTAAGGGGGGAATAGGAAGCTTGAGTAGTCACCTAGCAATCCGTGCCCCAGTGATTGATTTGAATTTCTCCAGTCAGATCTTCTCTAAATCATGCATGTAGCATTGCAACAAAAACTAATTTAAAGTCCTGTTAAGCCCACTTCTGTTTTTTTATAGCTCCTTTCCCCAACCCTGCAACAAAATGTAAACTCCATTGACGACTCCAAAATACTTTCACTGATCTAGCATGATATGGCCCAAACTTAATGTCCTGTACTCCCAGCAAAATGTGCCTGCTGCTCACTGTCTCCCATGCTTTGTCCCTAGACTTCCCTCTGCAAAGGAGCCTTTTCACTCTCTTTCAAACTGTATCTAAATACCTTTTACTTTTCACAACCTGGCTCACATTCCACCATTTTCTCTCAAACTTTCCCTGATCCCAACAACTAAAAAGAATCTCTCCATCCTCTATTTTCCCAGTATACTTCATATCTTTTTTCCCCATATTTCTAAATAAGATTTTGAGATTTTATTTATTTTTCAGAGAGGGAGAGAAACATAGATGTGTGAGAGAATCATTGAGCGGGTTGCCTCCCACACATCCCCAGCCAGGGATCCGGCCCACAACCCAGGCTTGTCCCCAGACTGGGAACTGGACCAACCCACTGAGCCACACTGGCCAGGGGTACTTTGTATCTTTTTATGGTACTTTACACATTTTTCCTTTCATTAAAGTTAGTATGTGGTATCATTAAAGGTTAGTATGTGGTTAGTATGTTAGTATGTGGTTAGTATGTGGTATGTTAGTATGTGGTATAAAGTTAGTATCTTCTGTGCTGTTAGCACATACTATAATATATTTTAGTCAGCTTTGTCCCATGTAGTGCTTGGCACATAGGAAATTGAATAGAGTAACATCATGGATGTGTGTCCCAAATCTGAATTAAAATATGACATGTCTGTTATAACATTACTCAGTAGGTTATTGTGACTCTTCTTAAAATGTATGAAAATAAATTTCATATTCTTTAAGGCTATTTTTCATGTATCTTAGGTTTGTCATTTTAACAAATATTTAAAGTGAACTTTCTAAAATGTATAGTTCAGGAACTACTTCCATCATAATTAAGAGCCCTGATCTGGAATATTTACTGGTGTGTCTTAGGCTGGAAGCCAGAATTTTATTCCTTCTTAACTGTTAAGTTCTTTATAATATTTATATATATACTTTTTCCATTACTGTCCAGTTAGGACGTAGGATTTTTTTGTCGCTCTACTTGGAACTAGGAAAACGTTCTCCAACGTTATTCTCAAAATTACTCTTCCTCAATTCTTATTTCTTTTCCCCATCAAGGATATTTATTTAAAAGATAATCTTAGATGTTTCTTGAGGGATCATTAATTCTACAGTTTTGTCCTTTTTCTTCGAGGTTATCTATTTTCATGTGGTTCTTACTATCAGCTAATAAAGTTTCCATGTTTTGCATCTTAAAAGGAAATTCGTTTCAAAGATACTGGAGGGGAACAGAGTACATTTTGAGTTGTGCCACATGTGGCTTCCTTTTTTTTTTTTAGAACAGCAGAGATGATGAGAGGGTTCCTGCTTTGAATTTATTAATCTGCTTGGTTAGCAGGTAAGTAATCTTTGATTTTTTGCTTCCAAATAGTATTATTAATGGTAGTAGAGAGTATTGGTTTTTGTTTTGTTTTTTCACAAGACCTACAGAAACCAAATTTCTGGAGTTTCTGGAGAATTGTCTTTCAACAGGTAGAGAGTATTGCTTACATTTTACAGTAGAGGAAATTGAGGTATGTAAGAAAACATATGTATAACAATTCTTTTCATTTTTCTTTGTAAATAATGCTGCAATGAAGATCCTCATACATACAGCTCCATTATTTCCTGCGGTTAAATTCCTAGAAGTAAGTCAAAGGGCATGTACAGGTACATACTGCTTAACAACGGTGGCATGTTCTGAGAAATGCATCATTAGGCAATTTCACCATTGTGGGAACGTCACAGAGTGTAGTGAGACAAACCTGGACGGTATAGCCTACTGCATACCTAGGCTATATGGTACACCACCACCATATAGGCAGTGTCGTTGACTGAAACATTATTTCAGCGCAGGGCTGTACTTTTAAAACTGAGATATTTAATGCCAGGTTGCCTTCCAGAAAGCTCGTACCATTCTGTGTTCCCACCGAGTGTCAGTGAGAGTGTCCATCCCCTAGTCAATACTGGGCATTTTCAGTTGATGTAAATATTTCCAATTTGAATATTAAAAAATACAATCAAATTATTTTTATTTGTATTTGTTTACCAGTGATGGTAGAACATGTTTCTTTTTTTTTTTTGCAGTTGTATTTTTTTAATTGCCTGTGTCCCTTGTTCATTTTTGGTTGGGGCATGTTTTCATTTAGTATAGGTTTAATTTCATTTCTCGCATTGAAATTCCACCTGGAATTTACTTGAAAACTTGAATAGTTTATATTCTTGTGTCTATATATTTATAGACTACACACACATTTATTTTAGGTCTCTTATTGGACTCAATGTTTTTGTTCCATGGTCAGTATTTTTATTCCAATCCCAATCTTATGTGAGAAACTTGGTTCTAGCTGACAGTAAAGAATTGCAGATCATCAAGTCAATTAACATGCAAGCAAAGTTTATTATTGATACTTTCACAAGCCTTGCTGAGGTGGGGGTGATAGGCTTGGGTGGCAAAAATCAAGGGCAGTAACAGCATCAGGTCTTTTGTCCTGAGAACTTACATAAGTTGCAGGGATGGGGGTGAGGGAGTTATGTATTGATTGGTGGGTAAAGGCACTGCCAGCTTCCCATGGTGGTCGTGACTAACCAAGCTTAGGTATGTGTAGGGGTCTGTTAGCCCAAATTCTTACCTTGCTCCAGACCACATTTGTTCATCTTGTTGTAAAGCAGATATGTGACAGGAGGCAGTTAATTAAAGTTGAAGAAGTTACTCAAAGTTATTTATGGGCTCTTTCTGTAAGCAGTAGGGACCCCCACATAAAATAGATAGTGATCAGAGGTAGGCAATTAACCAGTTGTTTTATGGGCTTTTTCTTTGGGTACTGTGGACCCCTCCTCTTCCCCTTCTAGACCTTGGGATGAATACACAATTTCAAAGGCTTTCTTTTCCAGATAGTGGAAATGATACATAGAATTTCAAGGACTCCCCTTCTCCTATGCTACCATGGTATTTCTTGTGATGTTGGAACACCTGGCAGACTCACTGGACCAGGCTCAGGACTGCTGAGTTAGTGGGTCAGACATGTTTCCCTCCCTCTCCCTGCCTTGGTTTGCTACCTATCCTACCTAATACCAATACCTTTTAAAAGATTTATAACATACTTAAATACTGGGAAGGTAAGTAATCCTGTGTCGCTTTATCCTTTCCCATTACCAGATACTTCTTTGGAGTTCACACATACTCAACATCTAGTTTCTTGATCTACAGCACAGGTAGCAAACACAAGGCCCAAGGGCCAAATCCGGCCCTCCACCTTGTTTTATCCTGCCCGGCACCTTGTTTCTACCTGGCGGCAGTGTCGAGCCCTTGCTTAGCTGTTAAGGAGTAGTTACATTTATACAGTCCTAAAATTGCATTCAGCCCTTTGAAGGCAACTGCAAGGCTGATGTGGCACCTAGTGAAAATGAGTTTGACACTCCTGATCTACAGTTTTGCTGCTGACAGTGATTAATACTTACTGGGCACTTTGTGCCATGCATTTTTCTTAGTGCTGTATAATAGAAACTTATTTAATTTAATTCTTGGAAGGCAGGTGCTTTTACCAGTTTACAGATGAGGAAACAAATGGCAGAGAGAGCTCAAATAACTTCTCTTCCATCACAAACTAATAAATGGCAGAGCTAGGATCCAAACGCTGGCAGCTTTACTCCAGAGCTGAGCTCTTAGCTGTGCTTATCACCCAGCTAACATCTACCTCCTCTGCTGGTAATAAGGGTTAAAAGAGAGGGTACAGCATTGCCTTAGACACTATATATAGTGGGTCTCTAATCCTCATACAATTTAGGGTTTTTTTCTTCTAGACAGGTTTAGAAAGATTAACTAATTGATGGTTCAGTAGACTAGTACTTAATGAAACCAGAGACTTAAACACATCATCTGCTGGCTAATCTAATATTTTATAATACTGTACACTCAAGAGACAAATATCCAAGTGTATTAGTCATGATTGTTTTTTCCCTCAAAAAGTTAGTTAAATGATAAAAGTTTTATCCTAGAAAAGTTTCTGAGACATAGGCTTCACTCAGCAAAATTTATAGATAATATCAAGTTTGAAAAAGGTCATATAGGCCTTGACTCTATTTGCAGTAGCAGCTTCAATATAAGTATGAGATTCTAAGTCTTGTATTTTTTATTGTTAGTTTTGTTTGTTTGGGTAGCTTGAAGGCAATAACTGGTAATTCATAGCAATACCTACTCAGATGAGTGGAATCCCATTCAAACAGGATCCAATAATTAGCTACCTTAATTATTTTACCAATGATGATTATTTTTGAGCTTCTTACTATGGAGATGTTGAAGCACATACAAATGTAGTAGAATGAACCCACCCAGACCAATTCATCACCCAAGTTCGACAATTAACTGTTTACCAGGATGTTTCATTTATCCCATCTTTGTTGTTAATGTATTTTAAACACATCTCAGACTTGTCATTTCTCTTCTTTGAGTATGTATTTAACTGACAAGAGCTTTAAAAGAATATGATTGTAATAGTACCACACCTCATAAATTTAATAATTCTCACAGCATCATATTTCATATTCCCTGATTATCCCCAAAATATCTTTTTAATTTTGAATTTTTTAAATCTAAGATGCATTCATTGCATTTGTTTGATGGGTGTTAAGTCTCCCCATTGAGCCCCCTGGAGTTTTTCTCGTCATTTATTTGTTGAAGAAATTGGGTCCTTTGACTTGTAAAATTTCACTTTTCAGTTTTGACAACTAAATCTCCATGGCAGTATTTAATGTGTTCATCTCTCTTCCATATTCTCTGTAAAGTGGTAGGTAGGTTGCAGGGGTGTCCAACCTGTGGCCCACGGGCCAGTGCAGCCCAGGATGGCTGTGGATGTGGCCCAACACAAAATTGTAAATTTACTTGAAACAGTATGAGATGTTTTTGTGGTTACATGTCACAATGTATTTAATGTGTGGCCCAAGACCAACTCTTCTTCCAGTATGGCCCAGAGGTGCCAAAAGGTTTGACACCCCTGGCTCAGAGGATTGATAGTGTGTGTTTGTCTGTTTGTTTGTTAAGACTCCATGGATGCTGTTGTATTACATCAGGAGGCATATGTCTAGTCCCGCTTTAGTGGTAAAAAAGTTGATCATTGTGTTCAGGTAAAGTCAATCCATACCTTTCACCTGTTGGTTTTATCAGCCATTGATGATGGTTGCATAGATCCATTATTTCATTAGAATTCTAAAATGCTGCTTTTTCTATTTCTCCATAACTAGAACTTCTTTCTATAAAAAATAACTTCCCTTCAACAATTTGGTTACCCTGAAATAGAGTTTACTGCCCAAAAACCCAAAAGAGGCTACAGGCTATATTCTTTCCCATTATTAGTTTTTGGGATAATGAAGTTGTAGCCTACTGGTCCCCAGAGATGACCAATAAGGCTGTTTCTGTTTTTGGATTATTGTTTTAAATGTGGAGGTTTTAACATCTGATAAATTTCAATCCATTGCATTTTGATGCTCAAATGGTTCCATCTTTGGCCAGTGGGAGTCCTTCAGATCATTTTCTGTGCTTTTTGTTATACAGTCCTAGTGGTCTTTTTAGTCTCTTGCTTTCTGGTATGTCCAGATGATTCATTTGTGTCTTGAACATTTCTGGATCTGGATCTAGAATTAGTCTTTTCTCCTGGGAGTTCTGGTTCTTCTTTTCAAGTAGATGATGGTATTTAGAATCTACAGTTTGGACGTTAGGGAACTAGCTGTTACTAAGTTGGTCAGTGCCTTAAGCCCTTTTCAGTGAACAGCTAGGAATTATGCGTTTTTTACAAACAGAAAAATAAAATCCTGAGTTCAAATCGATATTTCAGTTCTAATTGAAGATAATGTGACTTTTCTTTAATGTTTTTTCTATGATGAAAATTCTGGTTTGTAACCATATTAACATAAGTATGGCTTTATCCTGTAATATGCACATAATAGTTTGAGAATAATACTGTAATGTCACTGACAGTAAAAATATTTAAATCATTTAAAAACTTCCTTGTTCTTTTTTTGTCCCTGGTATATCTTACTAAAAATGTGTATCATAACACTGTGTTTAAGGTCATTTGAAATTATTCTCCTCTGTGTGGTTATACTACCAACTTGATATTTGGGAAGATTCATTTTATGGAGTTTGATTTATGATTTTATTTTTATTTAATCTTGTTTTGTAATCACATCAAATATTTACATTGTTCCAAAGTTACAATTATAAATCGAGGTACATTTGGAGTATTTTAGAATTCACTTCTATCCTCTCTAGCCTCTTTTCTCTCTTCTGTAGTTATCCATTTTATTACTAGTTTTTGGTTTATCCTTCCACTCATTGTTTCTTTTTAAAAGTAACAAATACTGTGTGTATATAATTTGCATTTTTCCAAACACTTACAAAAGGTAGCATGCTAGACATTCTGTCCTTTTTTTTTCCACTTAATCCTGGAAACCACGCTATAGCAGTATAGATATTTTCCTCATTCTTTTTTTTGTAAAAGCTTCAGTCTTCTACGGTATAGATATACTATAATTTATATCTAGTCCTTAGTGCTTAAGGGGGCTAGTCCCCTTACTGATAGACATTTGGATTGTTTGAGGTTTTCTGCTATTATTATAAATAGTGCTACAATTATCTTTAAGCATGTGTTCAATTATTTCTTCACCAGGTATTTTGACCAACGTGATTTAGCCGATGAGCCATCCTGATGTAGTTGTTCTCTCAGGGATAGAAGATACTTGTGATGAAGGCGGCCTGTATGAGGAACTGCAATGCCAGTTCAAGTACAAACTGCATCATAGCTTCAGCATTATGTAAGGGGTCTTCATCTTAACTGTGCAACTCAAGCTGATATGCAGAAGATAGAGTATATGGATTTGAATAGCTGAAGTATCTTTGTATAATCCCACCTAATTTCAGATGAACAGTTTTGAAGTTTTTTATAACCACATACAAAAGTGTATGAAGAAATTTTACAAATGCCCTTGGTGCTGCTTTATTTACATATATACACATAAAATTTTATTGAAAATGTTTTGGTTACTAAAATTTTGTTTGACTTTTGAACAAAAGACAAGAGAGAAAGGTTCTTAGAATTAAAATCGAGATTAAATGGCAAATGTGTTCATAGCAACAAAATCAAACATTTTCCCTTTACGGTCAATACTTTTATTTAAGTGGTTTATTGCACAAAACTTTTTTTAACATTTTTAATAATACCCTAACAGGTTGACTGCTTTAATTTTTCTGTCAAATCTGTTCATATATAATTTGTATCTCAGGTAGAACATTTTCCACCTTAAGTAACAGAAGATCCTAGTAGCAATGGTTCTTCAGATAGTTTTACTTTTCTTACATAATGAGAAGTATAGAGGGGTGCCTACTGGCATTGGCCCAACGAATCCATACCATGGTCTCTGATTCTTTTGGTCTTTCCCTCATGGTAACAAGATGGCCCCTGCAAGTCAAGGGTATGTGTCTGTTTTCAAAACAGGTTTCTTTCTCATACAAGCAGAACCTTCTCCAGATATCCACAGCAGACTTGTGTCCATCTGTTGGCCACAACTGTGTAGGATGATCACCTCTAGTTCCAAGAAAGGTGGAGAAGTGAAATTGTAAGCCTTTCCAGACTTTCTAATAGAGGTAGAAAAGGAAAAGGGAATTAGGAATAATTGTGAATCAGGGAACCAATACTTGTGCCACTAGTTACAAATATAGTAGATATAATTTACATTTGAATCTTTCCTGTTATGTCTTGAGAAGGCTGATTTTTAAATGTCAATTTAATAGTCCAAGTTGTTGTTTTACCATAATTTAAGCATTCTCTCATTGTTGGATATCTAATGTTTTCAGTGTTAATCCAGCATACAAAATGCTACCATGAATGTCTTCATTGTACATAACTTTTTGCTTTGTTAATGTTCCGAAGAGTAGGGTTGCAACTTGTACGAGTCTTATCAGTTAATATTGCATTTGAAAACTGAGGTTTTAAAAATAAGGAATTTTATTTCTCATCTGATAATTCTGGTATAAGTTCAGGGCTGGTGCAACCACTCATATATTTTAAGTGTCCTGGCTGCATCCAGATTTCCCTTTTATCAGTTTTAATGTGTAGCTTTCATTTTTTTAGTCATGATATGGTTGCTTTGCTGTTGTTTCACATCTGCATTCTAGGAAGGATAAAAAGGCACCATCTTGCCCTGGCTGGTGTGGCTTAGTGGATTGTGCCCTGGCCTGAGAACAGAAAGGTCAAAGGTTCAATTCCCAGGCAGGGAACATGCCTGGGTTGCAGGACAGGACCCCAGTAGGGGGCATGTGAGAGGCAACCAACTCATTTCTCTGGCACATTGTTTCCCTCCCTCTCTTTCTCTCTCCCTTCCCCTCTCTCTAAAAATAAATAAAAACTTTTCTTTTAAAGCACCATCTCTTCTTGGGTATTTCAGAGGAGGAACGCATTATAAGAAACTCACAACTTACATTTGCCAGAGTTAAGACATTTTCTAATTATAAAGTTGGAAATAGTAATTTTTTAGCTGAGCACATTGCCACTATCAAAAATGGAGTTTGTTAGAAAAGAGGGGAGATGGGAATTATTGGGTAGGCAGCCAGCAGTGCCTATCATAAAGAGTTTAGATTTCCAACCTATGCCACAACCAGCTGTGTTACAGCCTCATTTTTTTTTGTTGTTGTTGATTTGATGCTAGGGGGAGAGGGGCTCCTAGGCATTGATTTAATAGAGGTAAAGTGTTGATTATTATTTTAAGTTTACACTTCTTTCATAACTAGTGGCTAAACATATAGTTATATACACTACTCACAGAGAATAAAATTCCTGAGAACTGGATAGCATAAGAAAGAAGGCAGTTTTGCATGTGCTAAAGACAAGTGGGCCCTGGCTGGTGTGGCTCAGTGGACTGAGCACTGGACTGTGAAGCAAAGGGTCGTTGGTTCAATTCCCACTCAGGGCACATGCCTGGGTTGCGGGCAGTCCCCCAGTGGGGGATACGTGGAGCAACCACACATTGATGTTTCTCTCACTCTCTTCCTCCCTTCCTTCCTAAAAATAAATAAAATCTTTAAAATAAAAAATAAAGGCAAGTGGTATAAGAAATTATTTTAATGTAGTTACAGCTCTATCATCTAGCAAGCTGGAGGACCTTGAATAGGTAACTCAGAACCTGTTTTTATAATGATTCAACATGGCATAAGGATATTTTTCAGGAACATAGAGACAAATAAAAGTAATAGACATTTTAAGTCACTAATGTAATAAAAAAAAAAAGTATGCAAACTACCAGTATGGCCATAGGATTTATTGAGGCATTCACAATTAAAAGTTATCTTCTGATTTTAATGAGGAATTGAAAAGAAAAAGTTCTCCAACTCTTAACAGAGGTAGGAAGCCTAAAGTTTGTTGAGAAATGACAAATTTTAAATATGGAACTTAGAAGTATTATTTTGAAAATAGCTACCAAATGAAGGACATTGATAAAATAAATTAGATTGCACCTATACTTTTTTGTTCACATAAAAGATACATTACTTTCGGTCGGGAGGATATTATACATTTACTAAATTTTGGTAGTACTTTCATTAAAATTTCATTTTAAAATTTTAAAAGATTATTTCACCTGTATGTCTTAGCGGAATAAACCAATTAGAAGCTGACTTACATTAAAATTGATTCAGATTATCACTTCTACTATCTGTTTACAGAGAGAAAAATGTTTTAGAAATTATAGAAAAGTCAGCCCTGGCTGGGTAGCTGAGTTGCTTAGAGCACTGTCCCTATACACCAAGGCTGTGGGTTCAATCCCCAGTCAGTGCACATACAAGAATCAACCAATGAGTGCAAAAATAAGTGGAACAACAAAAACAAATGTTTCCCATATTGCCCTAAAATTTTTATTTACTTGAGCTGTTAGTGTTTCTTGAAAAAATAGTACTGTAATCAAAAATACTAAGTTAAAATTGTTTTTTTCCTCCAGAAACTATAACATGCCATTAATATGCATTAAAAATCTACAAAAGAGCATGGAGTTCCAAAATGTATTTGATCATAACACCCATTTTTCAAAGAACTTTGAAAAAATTGTAGGTTCTGTCTAGTTTCTTAACTTTTATGACCCTAAAATTTGTGTCAATCCCAGCCTGATGCCTGAGTTGAACTCCCATCCTACAACTGTATTTTAGTCAGATTTGGAAACAATTGACCAGATAACCCTAGCTGTAGCATTCTGCTTTCCCCTTGCTCACCATATGTTGGATTCTACTATGGACTGAATATTTGTGTCCTTGAAAATATATGTGTTCAAGTCCTGACAACCAAGGTGACAGATAATATCAGGAGGCAGGGCCTTTGGGAAGTGATTATCAGGCCATGAGGGCTAAGCCCTCTTGAATGGGCTTAGTGACCTTATCTACCCATAGGGAAGAGTAAATAAAGGAATAAAGATAAAGAAATTAGAAATTCACCAGAACTTCCACACAAGGAAAGAAAAGCTTCAAGTTGAAACTGTAACAGGAGTTAAATATAACAATTCCTTCCTAAAATACTTAATATTCTTTGGCCCTGGAGTCACTGAATTCACATTTAAACTAATCTATATTTAACTTTTATTATATTAATGGATCCTTGTAAAACTAAATTCTATTAAAGTGAAATTATGGTTTTTGAACAATTTAGGTAGATATGGCATCTCTTACACATATACACAATGTATATAATGACACTTATAGAGGCAAAAAAATTCTTAATAAAAATAAATTATAACAAAATAAAGTCTAATTTAGTGTGCTGTTTGCTTTTTTAACAAGTTCATAAAACAAAATCAAAATTTGTTCATTCTTACACAAATGATTCTGACTGGTGCATACTTTTATGCTCATTTATCAAACCCCGAGTTTTGCTTCTCCATCTGTTGTTAAAATACACATCACTCTAAGCAAACAAATATGGTTAAAATAAGGATCCTACATCTTCGTGTTTATGTGAAACCAATTTTTTTCACTCTGAAAGTCTCTTTATCTGCTTTAACTTGGTGTATGTTAAATTAATAAATACAACCTTACTCCTGCGTAAGCATACATCTTTCATTATACAAGTTAGCAAATAGCTTATATCAACACCAATGTCCAACAATGTAATTAAATCACTGCTACTTGAAATATTTTATACAGGAATAATTTAACTCTTTATACACAGCTGCAGTCTTGCACTTCAGTATGTTCTACAACTTCTGTATCATCACCTGAAATTTACCTAAAAAAGAAAACGAAGAATCATTTTGATTTTAGCAACAGGAAAAACAAGTCTAAATATCACTTTTCAGCTTTATTTAGGAAGTTTTAATCAAGAAACTTATTATGTCAAAGTTTTCACAATCATATTCAATAAAGGTAATTCCATTTTTATGAGATGATTATCTTACTAGTGAATTAAGTGCCTTTGTTTCTCTTTGTAATCCTTATATTTTGGGTATTTCACTGCTGATTATCATCATGACTAGAAGGAAATACAGGGAAGCTCAAGTCAATTGTATTCTTGGTTGGTAGCTCTGGGTGAAAGATCTTTTGAAAGTTTAGTGCTAAAAGGCCAACTTTTATCTAGCTTTACATAATAAATATATACTAGAAAACTTAAAAAAAATTTCAACAGGGATATTTGCTATCTGAAAAGAATACATCAGAAAATTTTCCTTTAGAAGTTAAGAATCATCCTTAAACTGTCTAACTTGGATTTCTTGAGGACATTTTCTTAAATCAACATCCATTATGAATTAAAAAATCATTGAGTATGAATATAAGTGCTACATATTACTGCATTAAATGTTAAAATTGGTCAAAGTAAATGGTTTTAGCATTTTAAATGCCCTCTAAGTTAACAGAAACAAAACCAAAACATACAACAAAAAGACCTGAAAAAAATAACTAAAAACATTTGTAAGAAATGTGAATTCAACTTACAAGCAGGCATTGAAGACACTTCAGCTGTTACAATACTTTTTATCCCCAAGTTTGATAAGCCACCTCTGATTAAGCCACATGTAAATGCTAAATACTAAAATGAACAAAAAAATGTAAAAAAAATATTAAGGATTTCCTAAGACAGTAAATCTATGAATAACTGACATTTAGTTAAACCTTACTATTAAGTCATTCCTATTTAAAAAGAAGGGTTGTGGAAGAACTTTTTCAAGAAAGTTCTAATTGTTAGATTTCCCAGCTCCTTGCTACTAAATCATGACCTATTACAAGCTCTGCCAATTGTGTGCTCCAGTTCATGACTCTGAATCTAGACTGAGTGACAAAAGTCAAGCTGGGAACAGGTTAGAATTAGTTCCAGAGGCAAAGAAAGGCAGCTTGTGTCTAATGTCAGTACTGCCTGAAGAATTCTCACCAGATCCTCTTGGTGGAATGACGGGGCGTCTTTCTGGCTGCTTTAACTTCCTGTGATTCTTGCCTGTTTTCTGAGCCTTTCCATCAATTCTTTAAGCTAATATTCCAATCAATCAGAGTTGGTTTCTGCTTTCTGCAATCAAGAATCTTGATTTGTTGAAGACTTATAGTGTGCCATAACAAAAAAATTAATCCAGTTCAAAATATCACTAGTATCAACACTGAGAAACCCCGTCACAGTGACACAAGGAAAGGGAGAGGGACTGAGCTACAGCAGAGGAAGCCAGGACAAGAATAGGAACTAAAAAGCTAATAATCCAAGGAATTTTGGTCACCTACATTTTTGTATTGTTTGATATTCAATAATATTACATATAAATGAATAATATAGAATATTATTATTTTATAATATACATAAATGGGTACTGATAGGCAATTAGATCCAGAGTCAAGAAATTTTGAACTGGAACAAAGCTTAGAGACTGTTTATAATATAGAGATTATTATAATCAGTTTTATTAATGAGAAGACTAAGGTCCAGAGGGGTTATATAACTTACCCACTGTCACAAACCTGTAAGTTGTGAAGCTTAGCTTAACTCTAGATTTAGTTGGTCCCAAGCCCATGTTCTTTCCACTATATCTATACTGCCTTTGTGTTAGATGATTTAGGTATGGACAAATTTTTGCAGATAAATAGGCAATTTATACTGCCTCCAATATTTTAATCACTTCAAAGGAATGCTTACATTAAAACTTGTTATCTTGCCCTGATTGGGTGGTTCAGTTGATTGGAGCAGTGACCTGTACACCGAGAGGCTGCAGGTTCGATCCCTGGTCAGGGCACATACCTAGCTTCTGGGTTCAATCCCTAGTCAGGGCACTTACAGGAGGCAACTAATCAATGCTTCTCTCTCATACTGATGTCTTTCTTTCTCTGTCCCTCTCCTTCTCCTCTCCACTCCCCCCTGCCCGCTTCCTCTCTAAATATCCTCGAGTGAGGAATAAAAATTTGTTTAAAAAAACCTCGTTATCTTTCTTTAACACATCTACTTATTTATCGACTCCTGTATGATTGAAAAACAAAAACTACACAAAACCCAGAAACATAGATATACTTAACACAAAACATGTATTTTTAGAAACAATGTTAACTGTATAAAACAATTTTTTAATACAAAGGAGATTATAAGTATAAACACTGAGGTCAATAGTTTTGCACAGCTAATATAAGTTTTATAAGCTTGAGTATCTTTTCTGACATATCTGCTATATTCAAAAATGCCCATTAATCATTGGCATTTAGTTATACTGTTTGTTTAATTGGTTTTCATAAGCTTATTTGGCTACAATTTAATGTTATTTTAACATGGTGAACATCCGTATCATACTTCATAGCAAAATTTTTAAACAAAAGGAAACAACCATAAAACCTATTTTATTGTTTTTTAGATCTATTTCTTTCTTTTTTTTAGAGACAGGAAGGGAGAGAGAAAGAGAGAGTGAGAAACATGGATGTGCGAGAGATACATCAGACCAGTTGCCTCTCACACACCCCCATCTGGGGACCTGGCCCGAAACCTAGACATGTGTCCTGACTGGGAATCAGGCCAGTGACCTTTTGGTTCACAGGCCAGCCCTCAGTCCACTAAGCCACACCAGCCAGGATGTAAAACCTATTTTAAATTCAAAAGTCTGTTGTGCCTGGCACTGTACTTTTCCCTATGGTCTACTCTTTTCATAATAAAAAAAAACCCTCAATCTTCTATTCCACAAAATACCTTAGATGCATGTTCTAAGTACTGTTTTCCTGCAGACATCTGAGTAAGCAGACGAAATTTGTTGTCCTGAAGTACATAGATGCCCTGTTCCAAAAACAAAAAACACATCCAAAGTCACTGTAGTCTGCAGTCCTTAAAAATTACCTCTTGAAACCAATTTAAGAGCTAAGTTATTAAAACTCCCTTTTCCATTAGTCAAATTTTCTTTAAGTGAAGGAGTTTCACGATGTTCAAGCTGAAAAATTGGTCAGCATTTTTTAACACTAATATTTACTCAATGCTTTAAATACTGCACATACGAAGATGCATAAGACATAGTCCCTGTCCTTAAGTCACAGTGCAGTGTAAAAGAATCAGAACTAACTTGTCCAGGTAAAATTAGCAGTTGTATATTATTAACTCCTATCTATAAAGCCAATAATCAGTCACTGCTTCCCATCAGCATTTTAAGTGCTTCCAAGCTCAGTTTGGTAGTACTATGTGAAAAAATAAATTCTACGGGTAGCTACTACATACATTTTTTTTCATTTTTTAATAATGAAAATCCATTCTAAATATTTCCTTGAGTGATTTTAAATGCATCGTTTTCCATGCAATCTATTAATTTTTATATTAACAAAATATTTTAATAGCAAATATTAAATAACACAAGAGTTAAATATGCTCTATAAATTAGACTTCAGAAATTACTCTAAAGATATAAATGTGATATATTTGTGGTTCTTCTTATTACTACCACTACAAAAAAATAACTAAAAAACCAAATCCTAAAACCTTTATCACTCTGACACTGCTAATTTTTAAAACTTAAAATAACTTAATTGGGGGGAAAGAAACAGCTATCATTGCTGATAATTCTCCCTTTGTCTTTATTCACTATATGCTATTAGAAAAAAATTAATGACTTATTAATAACATGTAAAAAAAATTACAAACTTGACTAGAAGTTATTTTAAATTTTAAATAATAGTAAATCACTAAAATAGGACATTTCTATTAAGTTAAAAGACTTAAAAAAAAGTCTTATCTAAATACCTGATGATTTGTCCTTAGGTTGTCGATTTGTTTCTTGAATACTGTAGTCCAGAAATCTTTACAAATGAACTTCATGATATCTAACTCATCCTTGAACCTTGCAGTATCTTTTGTAAACCTAAAAAGATCAACTAGAAGTAATTCAGTATTTTTTTCCACAGAAAATAGGAAAGATCAATTGTTAACTAATTTCCAAATACCAGAACAGCACTGAATATTGACAGTCATAAAGTGATAAGCATGAAGCAAAGCAGACCCCATCACAATGGATTCACATCCTGTAATACAGTTAGGGACTAAAATTGGTCTGACAGTAGAATCTAACAGTAACCTGCAGTTTTAGATACAATTCATTTTAGCCAATCAAAAAAACTGAGCATAACCATGGTCTTGTTATATAAACCATAGAGTGCACCTATTCAGACAGTGAGAAAGAAATACTAAAAAGAATTGTTCTATAAATTGAAAGATGATTGCATGCATAAACAGACTATAAAGTACTTGCATCCCTATGCATTCAAACAAAATTACATTTAAGTGAATGAACCTACGGACCTTAAGTAGAAAATGCAACAAGATTTTAGATAGTTGTTTCAGTACACCAAAGTTTTCAGGGAAAAAAGTCTAAAACATAAAATATGTTATTTTCTTCAAATATTAAAACATAAAAGTTGACTGAGTTAAAATAACCAAATATCTAAAAAGATACTTGCATTTGTGAAATAAAGACCAAAATTTGGGAATTAAAATTCCAGTATCTCAAGTTCTATGCAGTCTTTTGAAATAGACCATCTTTGCTCATAACCTACCTGGAAGAAAATTTTCAAATCCAGACTGCTCACCTTTCTATCAATCCTTGTCCCACTCGAAACCCCATGTTTTCCAGCTTAGTAATACAGCGTCCATTTTCCTATTTTAAAAAATAATAGCTTTGAGTACTTTTAGAATGTAAGAATGTTGATATTCAAAATTGTTCTAAAATGTTAGCTAAAAAATTAATGTTAGTATTTATACTTTCTTCATTGAAACATTTAAGAAAAAAGTGAATTTTCTTTTTTTTTTTTAAAGATTTTATTTATTTATTTTTAGAGAGGGAAGGGAGGGAGTAAGAGAGAGAGAGAGAAAGATCAGTGTGCGGTTGCTGGGGGTCATGGCCTGCAACCCAGGCATGTACCCTGGCTGGGACTCGAACCTGAGACACTTTGGTTCCCAGCCCGCGCTCAATCCACTGAGCTACGCCAGCCAGGGCAGAAAAAAGTCCTAATCATTTTCATAAAGCAATAAAATAAACAGGGAACTATTGCTTATTATTACTTTTCAGAAATCCCAAAGCCTCTTCCTAATTATTCTCCCCCTACAACATTTTTTGTGTTGTGGTTTTTTTTTTTAACATTTTCAACAATTCCTCTTCTCTCCTCAGTTATAAAACTTTGTATTAGGAGCATCTGAGATCTCCCAGCAACTGTCCTCAGTTTTGGCTCAAATAAACTCTTAAAAAATTCTCTATAAAAAACAACTTGGGCCCTGGCTGGTATGGCTCAGTGGATTGAGCTCGGGCTGCAAACCAAAGCATCGCAGGTTCGATTCCCAGTCAGGGCATATGCCTGGGTTGCAGGCCAGGTCCCCAGTGGGGGCCACATGAGAAGCAACCACACATCGATGTTTCTCTCTCTCTCTTTCTCCCTCCCTTCCCGCCTCTAAAAATAAATAAATAAAATATTTAAAAAAAAATAAAAAAAAAACAACTTGGTATCACCTTTGACTTTTTTCTGTCAGTCATTTGCTTTGTGCTATCACTAATTTCTATTGTTTCTTGTTTTGATTAAAATGTCTCTTAGAGTTATACAAGCTCTTGTATAACTAGCTCTTGGTGTGTCTAAGTTGATGACCCCACCATTCTATGCCTGGAATCCTGCAATTGCTTTGCTCTTCCTTCAACAATTTCATTCAGTCTTAAGGCTTAAAATACTGTCCCTATGCTGAAGACTCCCCAAATCCTCTGGATGACCTACAAAGACCTATCCCATCCAGACCCACGCACCTCTTGAACCCAACCTTCTACTCTTGTTCACTCACTCCAATCCAGCTGCACTGGTCTCCTTGCTGTCCTTAAACATGCCAGACATGCCCTTGTCTCAGGGATCTTGCATAGACAGCTCTTCCTCCAGATATGCACAAGACCAACTCCCTTGCTTTAAGCCTTCTCTCACATGTCACCATTACAAACAAGGCCCACTTTAACCATTTCTTTAAAATTACAGTATCATTCCCCTTCAGCAACTCTCTATCCTGGTGATTTTCCAAGTGTGGTTCTCCAGACTAGCAACACTGATGTCACAAGGAAACTTGTAAAAATGACAAATCTGGTAATCCCACACCCAATTTACTGAATCAGAAACTGGGTGTGGGGTCCACAATCTGTTTTAAGAAGCCCTCTAAAAGTGATTCTGATGTCTCATCTCACTTCCCTGATTAAGCTGTCTCCAAAGAACTTTTTTTTTTTACCATATGACATACAATATATACATTTTACTAATTTTATATTGACATATTCCTCCATCCCCACACTGCTAGAATACAGCTCCAAGAGGGTAGGATTTTTTATATATTCTGAAGCCTGTTCCTCTCCTACTAAGAAGTACATCACAGCCTTCATTATTTGCTGAACTTTCTTCTAAAGAACCATGTACTCCACTTATGGGCTGTGCCTAACTATATTTCTAGTACAGACTTTATTGAACATGGCTATCTAGAGGTCCCATAGGCCCCTCAAATTAGGCATATTTAGCTTGTTCTTCCTCCAGAATTCCTTAACTTCATTAATGTCATCACCATCCACCTAGATACTCCAACCAAAAAGCTTCCACTGTCTCTACCTCTCTGCTCCCAACCTCTCCACAGACACTGCAGTCCAGTCCTGTGGAATCTACAACTACATATTTTCCAAAATCCTTCTCTCTCCATCCTTACTGCTTAAGTTAGCCCTTATCATTTCTCTCTTGGTTTTCAGCCAGAGCCTTCCAACTGATCTCCTTGTCTCTAGTTTTCTTCCTTTGATTTATTTTCTGTAGTTCTGGTTTATACTTTCTAAAAAACAAATCTGCCCTGGCTGGTGTGGCTCAGTGGATTGAGCACCAGACTAAGCTGGTTGAACTCCCAGTCAGGGCACATGCCTGGGTGGCCAGCCAGGTCCAGGGGGCGGGGTACATGAGAGGCAACTGCACGTTGATGTTTTTCTCCCTCTCTCCCTCCCTTCCCCTCTCTCTAAAAATAAATAAATAATTCTTTAAAAAACAAATCATGTTAGATTTCTACTGGATCTTCCAGCATTTCCTCCCCTTTCTTCAAAGTCCAAACTCCTTAGCATGACATTACGTGCCTTTCCTTAAACGGTCCCTGGCTAGTTAAGCAGAATCACTAACAGCCACATATCCACAAACATCCTTCCTTCTACCACTCTAAAATTTCTGCAGCAAGTCCAGATTTCCATGCTTTCTTCTTCTTCCATACTTTTGTAAATGCTATCCCCTAAACTGTTCATCTTTTAAATTCAGCTCTAGTATAGTATCACATCCTCCCAGAAACCTTCCCTGATACTCCTTTGGGCCTTAAGCTTGCCATAACACTGTACATATGCTTATTATTGTACCTATCACTATCCTTGGTTTTTCTGTTACTCTCCATACTCATTCCCAAACATGCTCGGGTGGAATGAGCACCTGTAAGTCAGGATGCTCTTTGTAGAACAATCTACTCTGTAGAATCACCCAGGAACATACTGATTAGCAGGAAGTATGTTTATATAAGTAGACATTCTCAAAGACTAGCTATGATCACATGAGCTTTTAAAATAAGTCCTAGTAAATACCTTCTGATGTTACTACTTATTCATTCCCTTTGGCATATGTGAGTGCCCACTTGTAGGCACCAAATTTTTAAGAAAATTAAACCTGGAAATATTTTATCCATTAACTTTTCTTTTAAAAAACTTACTCTCAGTAAAGGTAAACACTCAATTATTCAGTTTTTAAAGATTTAATTCCTCTCTAACACGGTTTGAAAATCACTGATTTGGAGGGTAAGAACATTGGTCCTTATTTCATTTCAAAACTTACAACTTTATGTCTAAAAAGATATATAACACCCCTTCTTGGAGAAGAGGATTGTGTGTCATTCTTTTACATTTTGAAGCACACTAAAAGTAGAGCCAATAACACAACAAAGTCTTTTAAAAAAATTTTTACTGATTGATTTTTAGAGAGAGAGGAAGAAGGGAGTGAAGGAGGGAGAGGGAGGGAGGGAGGGGGAGAGAGAGAGAGAAAGGGTGATTTGTTATTCTTTTTATTTGTGCATTCATTGGTTGATTCATGTACATGCCCTGTCCAGGGATCAAACCTACAACCTTGGCACATGACACAATGCTCTACCAACTTAGCTACCAGGCCAGGGCCACAATGAACCCTCTTACACCCTGATTCCAATATGGATTCTAATCATCAAGACTGACACATAACTTTTTAGCCCTGGCCAGGTGCTAAAAGGTTGTGGGTTCAATCCCCAGTCAGGGCACGTACCTAGGTTTTGGGTTCAGTCCCTGGTTGGGGTGCCTATGAAAGATAACTGATCTGTTTTTCTCTCACACCAATGTTTCTTTCTCTTTTTCTTTCACTTTCTCTTTCTCTTTTGCTCTCTCTCTTTCTCCACTCCCCCTTCCTCTCTTTAAAATCAATAAACATATCCTCAGGTGAGGATTAAAAAAAAAGACTACCACATAACTTTTTAAAAATCATTTTGTTTATATGCACTTTACGTTTTCTAGCCACCCTAAACAAATTGCAATAGAAAAGTTATTTATAGTTTAAATCAGTGATTTCAACCTTTTTCATCTCATGGCACACACAAACTAATTACTAAAATTTTGCAGCATACCAAAAAAATATTTTTTGCCAATCTGACAAAAAATAGGTATAATTTTGATTCATTCACACCAGATGGCTATTGTGTTGGCTGTTGTCATATTTTTTATTTGAAGATCTATGGGAAAAAGAAGTCAGTCAGTGCCCCTGACTAGTCAGGTATCACATGTTTTAAAAATTCTTGCATTAGGGCCCACCCAGGGATGCTAAGCTAGCCCTGGCTGGCATAGCTCAGTGGATTGAGCACAGGCTGAGAACCAAAGTGTCGCAGGTTCGATTCCCAGTCAGGGTACATGCCTGGGTTGCAGGCCATGACCCCCAGCAACCGCACACTGATCTTTCTCTCTCTATCTCCCTCCCTTCCCTCTCTAAAAATAAATAAATAAAATCTTAAAAAAAAAATTCTTGCAGCACACTGGTTGAAAATTGCTGATTTATTCTTTCTACTGGATGCATGGTCTCTTTTCCTTGTAAATGCAATACAATAAACAATTTAATAACCTAAAAAACAGAAAATTACACCCAGATTCCAATATGGATTTTAATCATCAAGACTGGTTTAAGTGATTCAAAACTTATGAATTTCTTTTCTCATATATGACTAGCACACCTCTTAAAATTACCAGTCATGATTACAACAGCTCTGTTTTCCTTCTGGGTCAATACATTAGGGAAAAGAGAGATTTAAAAAAAAAGATGATTTTCCTGGGCAATGGCTGGAAGAGAGAAGAAATTGGAAAGAGAAAATGAAGAGAACTGAACACACACATTAGAGGTTGGGTGGAATAGGGATAGTACAATAAAGGCTGAAAGGGTATGCTACTAATAATTATTGTTGGGGAAAGCGAAGGCTAGCTTAACACAAACAAAATGTTTGCTACTCATCACTTAACACAGATGCTAAACATTAATAACTACTGGTTGTTGATAGTAAAAATTTGTAACTTGAAAATAATCTCTATTACAGATGGATCTGAATAACAAGAGAATTTGCTTCATTTCCAGTACTCTTTCTGATGTCTTCCTAATGATAGCTACTAATTCATGTCCATCTGCCATAGACTGAATTTTTGTGTCCCCCTAAAATTCATATATTGAAATCCTAATCCTCAATGTGATGGTATTAGGAGGTGGGACTCCTGGGATGTGACTCCATCATGAGAGTCCTCAAGAATCAGATTAGTGCCCTTAAAGTAGAGACACTAGAAAGCTAGCTAGTCCCCTTCTGCCATGTGAAGATACAGCCGAAAGACATCTATGAACCAGGAGCAGAATTTCATAGACACAGATTCTGTTGGCATCTTGATCTTGAACGTCCCAGCCTCCAGAACTGTGAGAAATAAATGCTTGTTGTTTATAAGCCACTCCATCTATGTTTTTTGTTTGTTTGTCTTATAGCAGCTAGGACAAAGAAACTACCCTTCTTATAGTTTACAAACTGGCAATACCTTTTCTAGATATCCTATATGCATCAGAAAATTTCAGCTTGTCCAAAAATACTTCATTATTTTCATCTCTTTTATCTCTTCTCCCTTATTCCTCTCCAACCAATCCAGCTGCTCAAGCTAAAAACCTAGGGATAATTTTCAACTCTCACTCCTATACTTAACCAAGTCCTAGAGATTCTACCTCCTATTTCTCAAACTTGTTCACTCCTCTTCTTTCTATCCCTGTCTTAATTCAGATCTCCATCATCTCCTGCCTGGGTGCCTGCAATAAGTGGATCTTTTCACTACAAGAATCTTCCCTCTCCAGCCAGCCCCTCTTTCTAAAACACAAGTGGGTCAGGTCATTCTCCTTCTTAAAAATCCTTTTTTAAACAATTTTATTTATTTATTTTTAGAGAGAAGGAAAGGGGTAAGAAAGGGAGAGAAATATCAATGTGTGGTTGCCTCTCATGCGCCCCACACTGGGGACCTGGCCAGCAACCCAGGCATGTGCCCAGACCAGGAATTGAACTAGTGACCCCTTGGTTCACAGGTCTATGCTCAGTCCACTGAGCTATACCAGCCAGGGCCCCCTTCTTAAAAACCCTTTAAATCTTCCACCAAGAGGTCCAAATTCTTTAATCATACAAGGCTCTTTTTGGTTTTAACTCTCAATATGTTTCACTCTCCATCCTTCAATATAGTCACAATGAAATATGCATACTTAAGTATATTTAAATACTTAACACTCTCTCATATCTCTATGTCTTTCTTCACCTTTGCCTAGGATGCTTTTCCTACCCCCACTTCCACGCCTCTTTATCAACAGCATTGTAGAAAGGGCTTCTAACTTCACATGACTTCGGAATTTCTTATTTATAAAAGGTCTGTTTCAATGCCATGATTCTATACCTAATTACCATCAAATACCTTAATTATCCATTAAACCGCTATTCCTCAACAACAGTGAGACAGGGATTTTATTTTATTCATTTAGCAGTGTCAGACCCACAATACAAACTGAGTATTTTCTGAATGAATCAATGCGGGAATAAGGACTGCCAGATAGAAGTAAACCTCCACAAGGATGGGGCCATTGTTTCCTTCATTACTATATCACCAGCACCTAGAAATTAGCTCTAACGTAATAGGCACTAAATATTTTTAATTAATTTGTTTCCTAATTATAGTAATGCCTGCAAACTTTCTTTTGCTCTGACCTCACTTTCATTAGGCTTCTGTATTCGGGTTGCGTGAAGTGATATTAAGGGTTTGGGATAAAGGAGGGAGGGACAGCATTCTCAGGCTGGAGCAGGTCTGCGCAGTGGGTGGCTCAGAAGTGCTGGAAATGGCAGAAGAATTAAGTAAGGAACCCTGCCGTATACTATGGTAGAGATAGCTTTAGTAAGAAAATCTGCAGCCTCCAGGACACAGGTATGGAAATAGACAAAAAAAAAAAAAATACCAAATAGTAGACAATGCTAAAGAGGAGAGGATAAAAGACCGGAGACAGCTGACAGGTTCTATGACTTACGACACCTGCAGGTAGACCCGCTTGTCTACACATTGTGAGGCCTTGGGTGGCAATGGGACAGGGGTTGAAAGAACGAACTGTGGGGAAAACAGAGTGTCACTGCAATAGGGTCTCAAGGGCCTGTGGCAGCACTCACCACCTCCCCCTGCTCCGCGGACTTGTACACTCCAGACACCATCTCGTTATGGAGAAGCAAAAACAACGCCTCGTCCGCCATTTCCTGCTTATTCTTGCAAGCTCTGGTTTTCGGCTCCTGTTTGGGTCAGGCTCCCGGGTTCCGGTAAAGCGCCTGAGCGATTTGGAATGCGCCGCAGCTCCCCTAGTCCGTAGACGTAGACAGTCCCTCGTTGCTAGGAGACCGAGGAAGTCAATTAGTTTCCTTAAGGCTGGTACTGGAGGGAGCCCAGTACCGGGTGAGTCCACCCCAGGGCTGCCAAGCACTCCGGCCAAACAAGAAAGTCTGACAGCTGCCGGAACCAAATCAAACCAAAACCAAACCAAACCAAACCCCCGGAGACCCAATCCGGCCTCTGGGCTGCGGGGGGGGGGGGGGTGTGGAGACGGAAAAAGCAACTTCCGGTTCCGTCTAGCCCGGCGTTCAGGCAGCTCTATGATTACAGAGTTCCTCCCCTAGGGTGAACGCTGGTACCACCGTGATAAGGCGGAGGCGGGCGGCATGGGATAATGCATAAGGAGCTACCACTGCTTCCTCTGTGTTAACTTCCTATGAGTTAGATGAACCGATAAGAATGTCTAGTTGCTTCATCAAAAAGCGTTCGTTTCCTACCATATGTTCAATATGAAAAGTTGTAGAAAGTGTAAGGAGCATTTGAGATCTTGCTTTTTAGCATGTCAATTTGGCTCAAGTACTTATAAAATTCTCAAAAAAGAGAGTGAATATATCAATTTTCATGCCATACATTTTAGATACAATGAGAAATCATCCCAATCCATACTGGATTAAACCTAGGTATGCAAAAAGCTTTACAGCCATTTTGCCACCAGGAAGTTTACTAGAAGGGATGTAAGGGACAAGGGAGTAAGCAAAGAACAAGATATGCTTGAACCAGAAAACACAAATTAATCTGAGGATTAGGAGAATAGGAAAAGTGCTAAAGGTTTCAGAAAAGCAACTGTCATTGTGGAATGAAGTTCATAAGAATCTGTGACACCCGACAGGTGAAGCTCTGTTGGTTGGGCACTGTCCCACAGAGGGAGAGGTAGCAGGTTGGATTCCCCATCAGGGCACATGTCTGGGCTACGAGTTTGTCCCAGGTTGGGGCGCTTAGTGGAGACAACTGATGTTCTTCTCTCACGTGGATGTTTCTCTCTTTTTCTCTCTCTCTCTAAAAATAAAGTCTTTTTTAAAAAAGCAGTGACAGATGTGAAAGAACTACAAAGGTGCAAATACATATGTTAGATGAATGCACCTCTTAAATTTGGCAAGTCTGACATAAATGTGTTGCTTAGCATTTGATTAGATCTTTTCTTAGTAATTGACAAAGCAGATTTTTTTCCAATAAACTAATTGCTTCCCCAAAATTAACATGCTGACAACCTCTCGACACCTCGTATCCTTTCACAGGAATGTAAGATCATGTTCCATAATCAGAATTATAATGGCCCTTTTTCTATATGTCCCTTCCAATGTTTAGATCAGTTTATTTGATCATTTATGATTTGTGGTCACTTATTATTTATGATCATTTATTATTTGTGATCACTTAATATTATTAAATTGTTTATAATCTGTTTATCATTTGTGATCATTTAATATTATGATCATTTATCATTTATGATCACATAAGTCAAGCATAAAAGTTCCACCTAAGCTTTCAAAAACACTTAATAGTGTAATTTTGCAACCATTTTTCCAACACTAAAATTTCCCATAGATAAAGTCAGGTCCTTTATGTCTCAATTGCATTCTTCCTTCATCACCACCATCAAGGAACAGAAGGAATTCAAGTTCACCACTGAGGTCAGAGTAAGCAATTGACCAACTTAATAAGGTGATTTCTCAAACTACAATAACATGGGGGTCTTAGAATATTCTGAATTTTTTTATTAATTGAATTTAGAGAGGAGGGAGGAGAAGATGGGGCAGAGAGACAGACATTGATTTGTTGTTCCAGTTATTTATGCACTCATTCGTTTATTCTTATATGTGCCCTGACTGGGGATTGAACCCACCATCTTGGAATATCAATAGATGCTCTAAACAACTGAGCTACCCAACCAAAGTGGTCTTAGACTATTTTGAAGAATAAAGGAGAAAGATTCATTAAGTACCTACTAAATGTTGAGCACAGCATTTTAATGATTGCTCTTCCCTTCCCCCACCGACCCCATAAAGTAGACTATGTTAAATTGTCCACAATCCAAATACCAGATCTTTTGGAAATAGGAATAGATCCCAGTTTTAGTTAGTTTTAAAAGTATTTTCTCATGGAAATGTTACTGAGGAGACCCAAGTCAGGGGACTCTCCCTTCTCAGTTCTTGCCTTGCTTGCAAGAGAAGAATTCAGGGACTTCTGGCCAAGATGGAGGTGTAGGTAGACACACTGTGCCTCCTTGCACAACGAAAAGAAGGACAACAACAATGTAAAAACACTAAACAACCAGAACTAACAGAAAATTGAACTGTATGGAAGTCCAACAACCAAGGAGTTAAAGAAGAAACATCGATCCAGACTGATAGGAGGGGCAGAGACAGGCAGCTGGGTGGAGAGGATTCTCGGCAAGGCAGCATCTGGAGGACCCTGTGAAGCTGCAGCTGGTGGAGGAAGCGGTCCCACATTTGAGTGCAGATAAACTGGGAGGAACAGTTGGACAGCGAAACAGACCACGCAACCAAGGGTCCCAGCTTGGGGAAATAAAGCCTTAAACCATAGATCAGAAACACCTGTGGGGGTTGTGGTGCCAGCAAGAGAAACTCCCAGACTCACAGGAGAGTTCATTGGAGAGACCCACAGGGTTCTAGAATGCACACAAGCCCACCCACCCAGGAATCAACGCTAGAAGGGTCCACTTTTCTTGTGGGTAGTGGGGGAAGTGACTGAAATGCGGCAGAGAGTAGAACAGGCACCATTGTTCCCTTTTGACCTCTTCTCCACAAACAGCGTCACAAAGCAGTGAGGTGGATTGCCCCGCCCTGGTGGACACCTAAAGCTCTGCCCCTTATACATAGCAGGCACATGGAGACAAAAAAAAAAAAAAAAGCAGCCCAAAAGAAAGAACAAATCAAAGCTCCAGAAAAAATACAACTAAGCGATGAAGAGATAGCCAAAATATTAGATGTACAGTTCAAAACATTGGTAATCAGGAAGCTCAAAGGATTGGTGGAATTTGGTCCCAAATTAGATGAAAAAATGAAGTCAATGCTAATTGAAATAAGAGAAACTGTACAGGGAACCAATACTGATAGGAGAGAAACCGGGACTCAAATCAACAGTGTGGACCAGGAGGAAGAAAGAAACATTCAACCAGAAAAGAATGAAGAAACAAGAATTCAAAAAAATGAGGAGAGGCTTAGGAACCTCCAGGACATCTTTAAACGTTCCAACATCCGAATTATAGCGGTGCCAGAAGGAGAAGAGGAAGAGCAAGAAATTGAAAACTTATTTGAACAGATAATGAAGAACTCCCCCAATGTGGCAAAGGAAATAGACTTCCAGGAAGTCCAAGAAGCTCAGAGAGTCCTAAAGAAGTTGCACCCAAGGAGGAACTCACCAAAACACTTCATAATTACATTACCCAAGATTAAATATAAGGAGAGAATCTTAGAAGCAGCAAGAAAAAAAGAAGACAGTTACCTACAAAGGAGTTCTCATCAGACTGTCAGCTGAATCTCAAAAGAGCCCTTACAGGCAAGAAGGGGCTGGAAAGAAGTATTCCAAGTCATGAATGGTAAGGACCTACATCCAACATTACTCTATCCAGCAAAGCTTTCATTTAGAATGGAAGGGAAGATAAAGTGCTTCCCAGATAGGGTCAAGTTAAACAAGTTCATCATCACCAAGCCCTTATTATATGAAATGTTGAAGGAATTTATCTAAGAAATAGAAGAAGATGAAAACTATGAACAGTAAAATGGCAACAAACTCATAACTATCACCAAACCTAAAACAAAACAAAAAACAAACTAAGCAAACAACTAGAACAGGAACAGAACCACAGAAATGGAGATCACATGGAGGGTTATCAGCAGGGAAGGGGAAGGGAGAATAGAGAAAGGTACAGGGAATAAGTAGCATAAATGGTAGGTACAAAATAGGGGGAGGTTAAGAATAGTATAGGAAATGTAGAAGCCAAGGAACTAATATGTATGACCCATGGACATGAACTAAAGAGGGGGAATGTGGGTGGGAGGGGATGTGCAGGGTGGAGGGGAATAAAGGGAGGGGGAATGGGACAACTAGTAGCATAATCAATAAAAATATATTTTAGAAAAAAAATGTAAAAAAAGAGAACTCAGGTGAGACACAGCACATATAATGGAAATGAATAGCAAATTTATTTGTGAGATACACTTGAGTACAAAACTACAAGCAAGCAACCAGCTAGTTTGAATATCCCACATATAGAGAAAACAAAGCTGTTAGCAAATTTGTTTTACACAGTTGAGCACCTGGCCACAAGTGGGCTCTCAGCTAATCTGAATGTGCAACTCTTGGGGTTCAGGGGTTATATACTTTAGTCAGTTTCTAGGTTCCCCTCCCCTTCTCTCTTTCAGACCTTGGAACAATTACAAAGGTTTTCTTTCCCAGCTAGTGGAGACGATACACCCACAATTTCAAGGGCTCCCCTCCTCTTGTGCTATTATAATTTTTCTTGTGATGTTTGGAACACCTGGCGATCTTATTAGACAGGGCTTAGGACTGCTGAATCAATGGGTGAGACATGTCTCTCTTTTTTAAGTTCTTTATTAGATTGTACTGGACAAGGGTCCTGCTTTATTTCCCTTTTGGCCGCTCAATGCTAGCTGCTACCTAACAGAAACACTGCTTTATTTGGTGTCAGGATCTACTGTTACCACATTCTCCTCGTTCATGTACTGCCTACGACATAGGATTCTAATATGGATCAATGACATCAAGTATGCCTAGAATCAGAAAAATATTCAGCAATCTTCATCCCTCTTACCTAATTTTACTTTGTTTTTTTTTCAATAGCATTTCTCTGTTTCTAATGTTGGGTGGAAAAGTTTTCCTTCTACCCTTTCAGGTTTGTTGGCTAGTTTATAATTAAGTTGACACAAAATAGATTAATAGGAGAAAAATAAATTTCATTTCATGAATATAAGAGCCCTGTAAAAATATTAAACCCCAAAGGAAGTTAGGCAATTGAGACTTACATGCTGTCCTAACTTAAGGAATGAGATAGGGACTGGGGCTTTAAATGAAGGGAGGACAATTCACAGAAAGAACAGATACTGCCCTGGCTAGTGTGGCTCAGTGGATTTAAGCGTAGGCTTGTGAGCAGAAAGGTGCCTGGTTTGACCTAGGGTCAGGGCATATGCCTAAGTGGTAGGAC